ATTGATCGATTCTTTTGTAGCACCCGTACTACACACGCCATGTTAATATTCATCAGCTGCTGTCAACACAATGACAACAAAGTGTTATCTCTAGCAATAGCGCTGGCTTGAAAAGTACCCATCTATCCTAAAATATAATATATTTTTAATTTTAAAATACTTTTTTATAAACTTTTACTAATAAACTAATAATATGAAAGTTTAATTATCATATGTATGATATTATTAGATTATTTTCGATTTGAAAGTGCTTTATGATGATGACATTATAGTTATTCACAGTATTGGCTAAAGATTTTGGCTGTGTTTAGATCCAGGGGTGAAATTTTTTGGCGTGTCACATCAGATACACATTTGAAGTATTAAACGTAGACTATTAACAAAACAAATTACAGATTTCTCCTATAAACTGCAAAACGAATTTATTAAGCCTAATTAATCCATCATTAGTAAATTTTTACTGCAGCACCACATTATCAAATCATGTAGCAATTAGGCTTAAAAGATTCGTCTCGCAATTTACACGTAATTTGTGTAATTAGTTTTTTTATCTATATTTAATACTCTATACATGTGTTAAACATTCGATGTGATAGGGTGAAAAAATTTTACGTGTGAACTAAACAGGGCCTTTATGACGGAGTTCATGATACTTTGGGGTAGAGAGAGTATTTATATGTTGAAGCATATATGACTGATGCAATAACAATACTTTTAAGGTAAGACATATCCATTGCTAGTCAAATCCAAGGCATACATGCATGATGAAAAATTCAATAAATCAATTCTTAAAGCCTGAAGAGTGATAATAAGTCGAGCGACCTGTGCCTTATAATTTCTACTACGTAGACCGGGAAACTAAGCAACGGTTAATTAGGATAAACTCCAATGCATGTAGTGATTATTAAAAGAAAATCATCTATTTACTACTCATCAGTCCTAAAATATAAGTATTTAGATTATTATGATAGCCTAGATTCACTAGTAAAGAAAATGTAAGTGAGGATGAGACTACGTAGGACGATAAACACAGAGGACAACGAAGTTCATGTCCACCTAGCTTGATTTTTTTTTAAGGAGGGAGTATGTACTTATATTTTGGGACGAAATAAGTAACTTCAATGCAATGTTTATTTGAAAAAAAGTAAATTTATTTTGAAATAGATAGGAGGAGATGAAAAATAAAGACGGAGGAAAACTGGTACATTTGTTTTCGTGATTACTGTCCACGTCGGAGAGACGGGAGCATCAGCATCTTCCGAGGGGATGATTCCCAGAATATCCGCCGTGGAGCTGGAAGTGGGCCCCACCAGATAACGCGGGCCGTAGAGCGGCGCGCCGCTGATCCTCGCCGCCGCCGCCGCCCACTTCTGCTTTCTTCGCTGCTTCCAATTTTTTTCTTTTTTTAATACTATCTCCCTTATAAAATAAGTGCAGCTGTGAGAATCCGTGTCGAAGGTTTGACCATCCGACTTATTTGAAAATTTTATGAAAATATTTAAAAAAGTTAGTCACACATAAAATACTATTTATATTTTATCATCTACTAACAACAAAAATATTAATCATAGAAAAAATTCAAATAAGACGAGCGATCAAACGCTGGACATAAACAGTGTAAAACTGCACTTATTTAGAAACGGAGTTAGTAGAATAGAAAAACGGATTCCATGCCATGACATATCATGTCATGTCGATGACGTTTGTTAACGACGTCGACAGCCAAGTCGAAAACACAAGTCACTCGCTTTTCTTATGTCAAATAAAATGAAACTAAAACTTTTTAAACTTTCGACAAAAAAATAATTAACAGGGTTTTATTGGGTTTCGGTACTACTGGTAAGCGGAATTTGATCTGGTATTGAGATTGTGAACGCTGTGGCCAACCATAGTGGGCTTCATGTGAGCTCTAGAAGAACAAAATAAATAAATAAATCCGAATGTATCGTATCAATCTGAACAAAGAAAGTCTTGATCGAGATTTACAGGATGTCAGGACGTACCAGAAAATTTGACTCCAAGAGAACGAAACACACGTCTTGACGCAACAAAATACTAGCTGAACAATCTACTTATTGTAACGTACGAGGTCGTTGACTTTTTATCAATGCTTCATCATTTATCTTATTAAAAAGAATTATATAATTATTATTTATTTTATTTTGATTTGATTTATCATCAAATATTTTCTAAGCATGACATAAATTTTTATATTTGTAAAATGAATTGAATATAACGAATAGTCAAATATTGTTCAAAAATTAACAGTGTCACACATTAAAATATGGAGAGAGTATAGTATAATACTAGTATTTGGTTGGATCGCTCATGTTCAACAATTTCCGACATACTCCACTATGTGGCTGCTGCATATGTGTCCATACACAAGTCCAGAAGGAAACCGGAGACGTGACATTTGTAAACAATGGCTAGCTTCCGTGTCTTCACAACCGCTTTTCTTCCCTCCTGCGACCCGGTAACTTCAGCATGGGTTTGATTGTGCTAAATTGGGTTGGGTTGAATTGTTGTTTGGTCTGAAATACTATGGCCATTCTTACTTTATAAAGATTTTTCCTCTATTTCCATTAGCATGTTTTTCAAACAGTTTAAAACATTGTATTTTATCCGACCTTACTTTAGATTCCCAACCTCACTCACTTATTTACCATGCGCACGTTTCCCAAACTAATAAACGGTGTATTTTAGAAAAAAAAATCTATGGAAAAGTTGTTGTAAAAAATCATATCAATCTATTTTTCAAGATTTAAACTTAATACTCCCTCCGTCCCAAAATAAGCGTAGTCATGAGTTTCCGTGTCCAACTTTAATTATCCGTCTTATTTAACTTTTTTTTTAAAAAAAAATAAAAAACATAAGTCACGCATAATCATAAAAAAATTTAAATAAGACGGACGATCAACGTTGTACGTGGAAACTTATGGTTACGCTTATTTTAGGACGGAGTGAATACTTAATTTACCATATGTTAATCTGTTGCTCCGTTTTACGTGAGGAGGGAGGAGTTCTCAACCAATCCTAAAAGACCACTGCCTGTTCTCTTTATATTCAAGAAATTTCCTTGTACACGAAAACAGACGGAACAATCCCAAAACCATTTTTTCTCTCTCTGTCATGTGCATGACAATCTTATTCATTATGCGCAAAATATTGCTATCTAGAATATAAATATTTTTTTTTTATTTTAGAACAATGAATCTAAATCCCATTCTTCCTAGCAACATTTTAAAACAGATAAACAGATAAAACCATTCCATCCAAATCAGATCAAGAGGAAAGTCCAAGTCATTCCACCTCGTCGTTTTAAAGATAGCGCATCCATATCCGTGTGGCCACTCCTGTGGCCGGGGCCGGGGGCCCACTGGGAGCCGGACACGTGTGACGCGGCGGGAAGGAAGGAAGGAAGGAACGTGCACACGGCACGCGAGGTATAATTCCCATGGCGGGAACCGAATATTCCTTGGGATACCCTCCTCCTTCCTTCTTGGCCGACTGGTTTTCATTTGATTTTTGGCCGCAAACAGGACGCTACTCTCTCGCTTCCCGATTCTGCCCCTGACTTGACTGGCGTATTTACGGCCCTGCCACTTGTCTGTCTCCACCCAGTATACCTTAAGACTTACTCCCTCGCTCAAAAAAAAAATAATAATAATCTACAAGGGGATGTGATCTCTTTTCTGGACATAGGGTTATCCAAAAAGTAACCTAGGTTGCTTTTTTATGAAGGGAGTAACAATTTGCTACACAACACTATACAAGAATATTTGGCATGGTAGCAAAACAAACAGCACCCATTTACTTCTACACTACTAGGTGAATGTAGTTTAATTGGTTAGATTTTTTTTCTTTGGAACCATCCTATCCAGATTCAAGTTGTAGACTTAAAAATGGGTGCTTGCATTTATGACTAATTATTTTCTCAGTGATAGATGATATAACCATCGATAGCGAGACGCTCGTACGGTGACTTCGTCAATCTCAAAATATACCGGATCAATGTTTCAATTCGAATGTGCTTAGGCGAGTGCAGCGCATCTGTGTCTCTAACATGTTTCTTAAAAAAAAGTTTTGGCATTATTGAACTTTGCTAAATTTTATTGTTGCTAAAATTTGGGTGGGCTAATTTTGGTATGAAAGGGAACAAACTCTAGTACAACTAGAAAGCAACGGCCAACGGTGCACCTGCTACACAAGTTGGCAGTGTAATTTTCAGCGTGTGCATCACATGGTCCGTATCTTTAATACTAGTCAATTCATTTTTAATGTAAATATAAGTACTATGTATATGGACTAGTAGTACTTTATTTAAGGTCAAAGATACCATGGAAGCAAATAAAAGACGCATGAAAAATTGAAATACCAACTTATGCAATAATATGCCAATGCATGTTGTTCTCTCCCTATTTATCTCTCAGCGTCTCTATGTCTTAGTTTAACTAATTAATGTAAAGCATGTGTAGTAATTATGGTGATATACCATTGTCCAGATTTACTTTTCTAGAATGTGTCACATCCACCTGAAATTTCTTATATTATGGGACGGAAAAAATATTATACTACTATCTTATAAAAACTATCACTTTATAAAAAATTATGGTCGGCATTTTTCTAAAAAAAAATGCGACAAAGCAAACTTTTCCATCAGAAAATAATACCATATATGATAAGTTAATCCTTGTTAAACTTTGGTTTCAAAACAATTTCCCACTTATTTCACCAAAAAATATATTTCTCATTTTTTTTACAAAGGGACAAATATACCATTATCCACATGCTAATTTGTGGTGTCAGATACCTGAATACTCCAAAGTAAACAAAAATCCAAAGCCTTTGTTGATGTCAAGGTCAATTTCGTAGTTTACCTTTGCAAAGAGAGAGAAGCAAAGAAGGGGCAATATGGTCCAAGGGCAGGGTCGTAAATACCTACGAAAAAGGCCAACATGGCGTCTAAATAAATTGCCCTCCTTCCCCCCTCTCGAAGCCTTCGAACCACCCAAACACCCAAAAAAAAGAAGGCAAAAAAAGAAAAAATCTCACCACGAGCAGCACAAGAACTCCTCTCCTCTCTTCTCTTCTCCCCTACTCCTTGATTGAAAACCCACGCATCCTCCTCCTTCCCATTGCGCATTCCGGCTAGTCGCCTCGCCGATCCCTCTCCCGCCCGGCGCGGATCGTCGTCCCCTTCGCGGAGGAGGTGCCAATCCCTGTTCTTGATTTTTTTTTTAAAAAAAGGAAAATTGTTCTTTGTACTGTGTGGAGCGGATTTTGGGGGTAATCTGGTGCTTTGTGGTGTTCGTTGTTAGGGAAAGTTTGGTTATTTTTGGGTGGATTTTTGTATGTCGTGCTAAATGGGTTTAGCTTTAGGGGGAGTTTATGGATTTGGTCAATGTTTTGAGACAGGAGAGTCCAGAGTTCAGAGTTCAGAGACGAGATGTTCTTATTATGCGTTTTGTTCGTTGATTTGGGAAGTTTATTAGGTGGATTCAACGACAATATTCAGTAGTAACGATTATATTGGGTTGAAACTGGAATTGTTTGGGAGTTAAAGGTTTGCGTTTGTGGAGCTTGTGAAAAAAATAATTAATTGGTCATGAGATTGAGGTCAATTCGCCTTTTTACTTGTCCTGGTTAATAGTTAAAAAGATGGTGTTAGAGTCAAGGAAAAGTCGGTTGCCTGCTAAGTGACGCATTTGCACCAAGATGGAAGCTGGAAAGGCAGCTTTTACCTACTTTTTGAGAAAAAAAAAAGAGGACAATCTTGTAGTGGTTTGTGCATCAGCAAGGTCTCAGGTAGCACGCATGATCTTGGTTTGCTCTAGAGAAGTAAGAGTACAGAATATTTCCTTTTTTTTTCCCACTCTGGCCCACTGGTTGTATTGCCAAGTAAATAGATGGGCCAATTTGGTTGTTTCCTGAAATACTAAATTTGAGATGTTCTTAGATCATCAAATTTGCCCATGTTTACATGATAACTTTTTAGACAGTGATTTATAATGATGGATAACTTGATTGGTGGTACTGTGTAAGGCTGAATTTTGGATTAGTAGCTTCTTGTCTTTTGAACAGCATGATCGCTTTCTTGATGCAGTAGTGGTTCATAAATGTGTAGCTAAGATCGTCTATCTAAACACAAATTAATGCACTCAATGTCTCAATTAGTCCATTGTCTTACTTACATCCTCCTCTGATGGTTTCAGGTGTTAATCATTCTTGGACCAAGAAGTCTGTCTCTGCTTTGTCAGTAACTAGCAACCTTGGTGTTCTCATGGCTCATTCTCATGAAATGACGAGTAGGAAACCTCCTGGTATTCGATTATTCGGAGGCATTACGGTGCTACGGACGTACCAGACACTTGTTTTGGTGCTTACATTTGTCGCGTATACTTGCTTTCATATGACTAGGAAGATACCGAGTATTGTTAAGAGCGTGCTTGATCCACAGACAAAGTTGGGGTCCTCTCCATGGGGACGACTGCACACAAAAAACACTCTTAACATCGGTTGGTTGCCGTTTAACACCATTGATGGCTCAGCATTGCTTGGTGAGATAGATGTGGCGTTTCTTGCGGTTTATTCTGTTGGGATGTTCTTTGCTGGACATCTTGGTGACCGCATGGATTTAAGGATCTTCCTGACAATTGGCATGTTTGGAACTGCTGTGTTCACTGCCCTTTTTGGTGCTGGATATTGGCTAAATATCCACAATTTCTACTATTTCCTGGTCATTCAGATGATTGCCGGTTTATTCCAAGCAATTGGATGGCCTTCAGTTGTCGCGATTGTTGGAAACTGGTTTGGAAAAAGCAAGAGGGGATTGATTATGGGCATTTGGAATGCACACACTTCTGTCGGCAACATATCTGGTTCACTGCTGGCTGCATTTCTGCTGAAGTTTGGGTGGGGCTGGTCATTTGCCATCCCCAGCTTAATCATGGTTGCTGTCGGGTTGTTGGTGTTTGTCTTCTTACCGGTTAGCCCAGAGGTGATGGAGATAGACATTGATGATGGGGAGATAAGCTCTGTTAAGGATACTACCAAGGAGCCCCTCTTGGAACCAGGACAAGAAGTGAAACACAATGCAGTAGGTTTCTTAGAGGCTTGGAAGATACCTGGAGTTGCGCCCTTTGCTCTGTGCCTCTTCTTCTCCAAATTGGTTGCTTACACCTTCTTGTATTGGCTACCGTTCTACATCAGTCATACACGTAAGCGCTCTTTTTCCAACTTCCTTCAACTTGTGTGCAAAACTGTTTTTAGTGTGCTTTTCTAACAGAACTTCACTTGTTTCAGCTATTGGCGGTGAGTACCTCTCAGATGCTTTGGCTGGCAGCCTATCAACAATCTTTGATGTTGGAGGCGTGTTGGGTGGAGTCCTTGCTGGTCACATCTCGGATCGCTTAAATGCACGAGCGGTTACAGCTGCCAGCTTCATGTACTGCGCGATACCTGCCCTCTTCCTATACCGCACATACGGCAGCATGTCGATAATGTGGAACATTTGCCTCATGTTCATCACCGGGATGTTCGTCAATGGTCCTTATGCCCTAATCACAACTGCAGTGTCAGCTGACCTTGGCACTCACAGCTCATTGAATGGAAATTCCCGGGCATTGGCTACTGTGACAGCCATCATTGACGGGACCGGGTCTGTTGGCGCCGCCATTGGGCCATTGCTGACAGGCTACATCTCGTCGAGTAGTTGGAGCGCTGTGTTCACGATGCTTATGGCAGCAGCTCTCCTTGCTGGGCTCCTCTTGACACAACTTGTGTGCAGTGAACTAAAAGGAAAGGCGACCTCCAATGCGAGCAAGGATGTCGCCGATGCTCAAGGTACCTACTCAGATGAGGTGTAAGACTGTAAGTAAGATCTAGTCGCACCCCAAGACACGATACATGGATTAGATTCTCGTAGCTCCAAAGCACTGCTTGGCAAGAAGTTGCATTTTATTGCTTCCTGCACATGTCTTGATCACCTCTGGTTTGAGGCTGAAATAACCAAAGAGATGTGGTTACCAAGTGGTTTGCTTAATGCAACTCCAGAAAGAGGTGCATGAAATAGATAGATTAGTTTAGTTTCAGGTTCAGAGAATACAGGGGTGAAAACGCCTCAACCAAAGTTTCTGAGCCCAAATATAGGCTCAGGCCGCCTTGTACATATACTGGGCAATAGGTTATCATTGTGTTGTGTGTAGTAAGTATAAATTCAAGCTTGTATCCTATTGTTGTAGTTTAGGGCAGACAAAGGGAACCTCTCTTGTTCAAAGGTTACCCAAAGTCTGTGTTTGCTGGCCATCTTGGCCTCGTTTTGTATATGTAAAGTTGAGAAGATTGAGAAAATTTTGAATTGAGGTTTCAAGAAAGTGAATTGTTCTCATTCAAGAAACATTGTTAATTGTTGCATGTCTACCTTAACATTTTTGGCCTTTTTGGTTGAAAGATAATAAATTATCTTCGTTTATGGGACTTATTATGCACCAAAACGAGATGTATTACTGCAAATTTAACGTTGGGGTTGATGTGGGGCACTGATGCAAGAAAGAACTGCAACAATTCTTCTGGTTTTGCCTGTATTTACCATCTGATGCCTCCAGAATTGTGTTACAAATTGCAATGCACGGCATCAGGAACATTTTCACTCCTTCCCCTGATTATAAAACACGGTATGTTTTCGAGACCAGAGCAGTAACACCGGCAGGAAGAATTGACACCGTGTTTAGTTTCAAACTTTGTTTTTCAAACTTCTAACTTTTCTATCACATCAAAACTTTTCTACACACGTAAACTTCCAACTTTTCCGTCACATCGTTCCAATTTCAATCAAACTACTAATTTTGGCGTGAACTAAACACACTCTCAGAATCAATTGTACGAAACCGATAGCCAGAAAGTTGGTGCTAATATATTTTGCTTCAATTAATCCCACCGAAATTCAGCAATACCAGTCATCATACGGCAGCACAGGGATGGAAAATTTCAGATGGGCAAGATAAACTGTCAACAGAAGCGATTAATGCATTTCCAAGTTACAGTGTCAGAAGTGCACAACTCACCCAATACAACAAACAACAAACTGCAAAAGAAAACAAGCTTAATCTGGTTGAAGATTTTCCCACGTACGCAACACTCCTATATTGACAAAACAGAAAGGAGAACTTCATGACGGTCTCTTTGCCTCCCAAGAATAACTTGGCATGAATGTGGGGTCCAGTTCCCTTCGATGTCGACTCAAAGAATTATGACTTCATCATATAGCCCAAGAAGATCCCGATCAAGGCGACAATTATGACGATTATGAAGGAGAACCCTCCGCGCTTCTTGCTTATCTCCCGTCTCATCATATCCTGCGATATGGAGAAATGGCAACAGTGAATCATAATTTCTCGATAAAAACATAAAAGTTAACTATACGGATTGTTCTTTTACACAGTTCGGAAATTATTTATAAGCCTAAATCTAGAATAACACATCAAGTGTTCTTTGAGACAGGTGAGGATATACAGCATCAGCGCAGGAGCTTATGCGAGTTTTAAGGAGACTTGGTATATTATCATCAGTTTGTCAATTAGCTTCATCCAAACCACCATCTCTTAAGTTACCATGGTGATTTTCTTAAAACAAATGTTCCAATTAGCATGAAGGCATCCAAGAAATTATTAATAGACAACTAGTTCAATGGAATGTTCCTTAGCTGAAGCTAAAAGACTTGTTCTGCAACAGAGAGAATACAAACCATGGGATCAGAATGTCGTTTTATTCAGAAGAGCCTTGGAAGGTCGAAACTCTTACATCTCTATCTTTCTTAGGTATGTATGTTCATATGTATGTTTCATTTAGCTCACTTAAGCTTTTCCAAGAAGGGTCTCAGCAGTTCATGACATAAAGTCATATAGAATGGATTTTATACATTGAGAGCAAGATATGACTTATGAGAAGAACTAGTGAGACATTCTTGAGGCTCCAGAAGTGTGCAACTCGGACAAGTTGTTCTAGGGGTGGTTCAGTGTAAGTTTTTCATACAATAATTATTTCAATCAAAATACCAAATATGAAATCTGTATTAAGGTTGAAATGGGAAACCAGTTGATTACTCAAAGATAGAGAAAGAATCCAAACACATCAATTGAGTTACAAATTGAGATTGTCCAAGAAATTTGTTTAATTGAATACTGCTATGATATTGAAAATACATCAATTGAAGAGAGTAGTGATCTGAGAACAGTATATATTGGAGGACTTGAATGCTAGTCAGGATAACTTGTATAGAGCTGAGGTAGCAAAAGTAAAACAGGATAAAAACTGTTATCTAGATTGCTCAATGAGTGTAAAACTATTTGTTTTGCATCTTTTCAAAGATGATCTCATGTTAGCAGATGGTAAAAGCCCTGCAATATACATAGGAAAGCCGAGTTTAAAAGGTTTTGTGTTGAATAGGCCTTGTCAGTCTGTCTCAGAGATGGGCAGATTGCCACAGCTAACCTGTCAGAACTTAAGGTCTGTGCCCATATGATGTACTGCAGTACTTGAGCACATTTTGATTTTTGTTTCATTTTGTTCACGGTGAAGATATTTTGTAGCCATCTATTTGAATCATAATGCTACATATGTTTCTTAACGCTGAAGCCTGAAAGCATATGTGGTGTGCTTTGTGAGGCTTCAACTTTTTAATGATGTTGCCAACATATGTAGTGTGCTTTGTGAGGCTTCAACCTTTTAGGCTCTGGGTGTGTTTAGTTCACGCCAAAATTGGAAGTTTGGTTGAAATTGGAACGATGTGACGGAAAAGTTAGAAGTTTGTGTGTGTAGGTAAGTTTTGATGGGATGGAAAAGTTGAAAGTTTGAAGAAAAAGTTTGGAACTAAACTCGGCCTCTGTTCGTAAGTCGTAGTTCCCAACTCCCTCCGCCTCGTTTTCTGCACGCACGCTTCCCAAATTGCTAAACGGTGTGTTTTTTGTAAAAAGTTTCTATACGAAAGTTGCTTAAAAAAATCATATTGATCCATTTTTGAAAAAAAAAACTAATACTTAATTAATCACGTGTTAATGGACCGCTCCATTTTCCGTGCGCAGGAGATGGGTTCCCAACTCATTCCAGCGAACACAGCCTTAATGATGTTGCCAAGTTGTAAGTTTGTTATAATAACTACGTTAGTTCAACCTCAAATCAAGATGAATAAGGATACAATTTTAAACTGAATAGGTTACAACGAAACTTTGGGGGGGGGTGAATTTCTGCAACAGCAAAAAAATTTTATATGATGGTAGTTTACTTTGGTTTCCTGTAGATTATTTTTCTAATCTTTTCATGTATTAGTTGGATGTCCCAAAAGTAAGTATATCCCCTTCCTTCTTTTTCTATATGGTGTATTTTGAACTAACCAATGCCATATAAAAAAGAATGGAGGGAGCACCTAGTGGTAGTGGTTTGTGTTAGATCCAAATATGTAATACCTATTTTTAAACATATAATCCGGAAGCCAAAATAGAGTCCACTCGAAAGTTAAAATGCAATAGTGTACTCACCAGTTCCTGTCTAATTTTATGGTTCTGTTGAATTGCAGAGTTCTTCTCTTCATTCAATTTGTTAATCAAAGCTCCAGCCTGCCATACAAATACTCAGAACATAAGGTATTTTATAGCGCAAGGCACCAGACCATAGTGTAATTATGACAATTATTCGATAAGTCGATGCTACCAGAATGTAATTGAGACAATATCAAAATTTGCAAAATGGACACGGTCCAGTCTTAATTAGAGAAATAACAGACCTCTAATGAATTTTCTTGAGGCTCAATGCGTTCTCTCAGTGCCTGCAATGATTTCAAAAACATGTAAATTCTCCTCTTTGCGAAAAATGATAAATGGATGGCATAAGTTCAACAGTCATGGTAACTCACTCTAGTGAAACCCCCACCAAGACTGTCTCCATTTTCTGACTCAGAAACCCTTGATGGGGAACCTTCTTCTGATTCCTCGGGAACAGGAGATGGTGGCTGTGGAGGAGCAATATAGGTCACTCGCAATTTTACCTCTTCAACCTTATTTCCGGACTCCTTCGTAAACTGTCAAACCACAAACATGAGACTACTAATCAAACACCGGACTTATAAGCAAAATTTTCACTTCATAGGGGTTGCCACTATACTACAGAGACAACAGAGTTTTAGAACTCCAAAACGACCCACCCACCCCCCTATATATGCTCTTATTTGGTTATTAAGAAGCATAATTGAGAAGCATTACCATTTCTCCCGTGATATCCTTCACAGTTACACCGGAAGGTGCAATGACGCTCTGGACTAGGAACTTATCTTTGCACTGCATGTCAGGCGGGGCTTCCCGCTGTGCTTGCATTGTCACTGCACAGTACAGATGCACAAAAAAGTCATAAAACGGAGCATTGGTTGACTGCATAAAAATCACCAGGGAAAATTTGCAGAAATCACATACCAACAACATCGCAGGTAGACCGTGGCAAGACAACCCCTGTGTTAGGCCGCACCGAATACTTCTTTGGGCTTGTAGTTTTCACCTGAAACAGAGAAGAAAACAGGAAATATGAACAAACAAAACAAAGCCTCATTGAATCAATGTTTGCTACAAGATTGTCACTTCATTAAAATAGTTTAAACAATTCCAATGACCTTAGTAGATAAACACTAGAAGGTTTCATCACAGACTTATCAAGGCAAGGAAAACGAAGAAATCCCATTATAAAATGCAATCAAGAGACATATATTAGCCCCACAAGACACAAGAAAGGTTTTATGTATACGCTGATTTAATAATCTATAAAACCAACATACGAATAGGAGGTAACAGTTGATACCATTTGCGAATAATAATAATATAATCCCTCCAAGGTTCAAAACTTCAATTCTAGAGTTTACACAAGCAAAATATTAGAAAAGGGGAACTTGTACAGCAGGTAAGCCTTCAATTGTATATTTTATGGCACGAAGCTTGAAGAACAGACCAAATGAGATGCAAAACAAATAAAAACTTAAATCAACTTTCAAGTGTTTATTCAATGCAAGCAGCCAGCAGCAACAAATTTCAATCTCCAAAATACATATAGAACATTAAAAACTGTAGGCCCCTATCACACAACAACCTAAAAGACCAACACTTTTCAATCATTATGGGGGTCAAATCCAATGAAGCCATTCATCCAAAAATACAAACTTAAAGGAACGCCTCCTCCAAATCAACAACATAACACACCAACCATACCAACAGGGCGTTCGATTAATCTAGTATTACTGCAGCTCTAGGGTTCCAAGATAATTATCATTAGGGGAAAAAAAAAAGAATCCCCCAAAGATTTCTGAGAAAAGAGCGATGCGGGACCTTGAAGGCGATGTAGTCGTCGCTGAGATTCGATAGCTGCATCGAGCACGAGATCTGCTTCTTCAACTCGACTGCCCACCACAAACACGAAACGAAATCACCAACCAATCGATCCAATCCGGCAAAACAAAAGAAAGAACACAAAAAAACATCCTTTCTTGAACGGAAAAGATTGGGGGGGGGGGGGGGGAAGCCCGTACAGGGGAAGCGGAGTTCGACGGGGTCGATGCGGAGGAGCTCGCCGGCGGTGGCCGGTCCGGGGGAAGCCATTGCCGGATCGAGGCGGGGGCGGAGGGGGTGGAAAGGTGAGATCTTGGGAGAGGAGGTGGGTGCAACGACGAGAGGAGAGGAGAGGAGAGGCCAGGAGAGAAGCCAAAGAGGGGAAGGAAGGAAGAAAAGGGAAAATGAGGAATGAAAAAAAAAAAAAAAGGAGGCCAAAGTTATTAAAAAGAAAAAAATACAAATTACCCTGTGAACTATTACGGCCGACCGAATTACACCCCTAAACTACAAAACCATACATTTTTCACCCTTAACTATGCAATCAGGACAAATAACCCCCTTAGCTCAATACGCGGTGGTTTTGTCCTACGTGGCAGTCTAGTCAGCATTTTTTAAAAAAAAAAATCAGTGGGGCCCACTTTCTACCCCCTCTCTCCATATCCTCTCTCTCTATACCTCTTGCCGCCGCCGGCCATCACATTAGCAGGAGAGGGCGATGCCCATCGCCCCTGCTGCCACGCCGCCCCACTGTCCTCCCTGCTTGTGCGGCCTTCCTCGCCAGAGTCGTCATCGCTGGTGCCGGAATTTGCGTCGCGGTTGCTTGTATATTGGCGAGGAGGCAAACGACGCGGACACGTGGATGTGCAGCGCCTCGAGCGCCGGCGCCGCCTCAAGGAGGAGGCGCAGCCACGAGACGTCCCTGGTGGGTGGCACGTAGGCGACGAGGAGCTCTTTCAGGCCGAGTATCGTGGCGCAAGAGGATTCACCTCTTCGGTGCGGTGAAGCGGACGGCCAGCCTCATCGACGCCGGTGCGCCTTCGACGAGGGAGTCGAGGACGTGGTGGGGCATCACCGGGGATGGTGCCGAAGCCGAGCTCCACCACCGGCGCATGGTCATTGCCGAGGCACGTGAAGTGGCGGAGCTCGGGGAGGCCATGCAGTTCAATGGCCCTGAACGAGCTCCTCCACGCCGGAGCATGGCGCGTCGATTTGTAGGACATCGCTTGCGCTGCGGCAGCATAGGAGGTGCACCACCCGTAGCGGTGCGCCGCAATGGCCGTCGAACACCACGTCGTACGCGGACATCGGAGTGGACGTTGGCGTCGCCTCTTCGCCACGCCTGGCTCGCCGACGCTTCCGCCTCTCCGCCATGGCCACCACCGTGCTCGCCGACCTTCCCTTCCACCTCCATTTCCTCCCATTTCCCATCCCCTCCACTTTCCCATCCCCTCCACCTCCCCATGCGTCGTCGTGCGCGGTGACCGCCAGCCCGCCTCCTTGCGCCGCTGCCAAGCCTTCGCCTCTGCTGACTCCGCCTCCGTTGCTGGCCGCACGAGCGCGCCACCGGCGCTCGAGCGAGCCCTGCCTCCCCCGCTAGCCGCTCGCGCTACCTCCTCCTCCGCTCCGCGTGACGGCGTCCGTGCTGGTGAGCTGGTGAGGGGAGGGAGAAGAGATAGAGGGTGAGAGATTGGGATAGAGGGGTGGGGAATTGACAGGTGGGACCCACCGATTTTTTTAATTAAAAGAATTCCTGACTGGACTGCCACGTAGGACCAAAACCACCGCGAATTGAGTCGGGGGTTAGTTGTCCGGTTTACATAGTTTGGGTGAAGAATATCCGGTTTTGTGGTTCAGGGAGTAATTCGGTCTACCGCGATAGTTTTGGGGGGGGGGGGTAATTTGTACTTTTTCCTTATTTTGTTTTGGTTTTTTCCTTCCAACTTTGGTCTTTGGTAATGGTAGTTACAGGTTGCCAACCCAGCTCTCTAAGCATTCTTCCATGGTTTATTTTAAGTAAATCTGATATATATATATATATATATATATATATATATATATATATATATATATATATATATATATATATATATTACTACACATGTTCAATGGTTTTGTTACGAACGGGTAAAAGATTATAGGAACAGTTGTGTGTGTGATTTATGTTAAAAGTGCACGGTATTGTTTTCCTTTCGAAAATGTTGTTAATATAAAAATTCCTATATCCAAATAAATCTTTTTTTAATTAATCATGGTACCCTGTTCGATCGGAAATATCTTATGTTATTTAAGACGTGTGTGAGAGCGGAAGGTTAGTTGATGGTAAGTTAGAAAAAAAATCAAATAAGAGGTAGTAATCCTAAATACTTATATAGTTTTTTTTACACATATATACTTATATAGTTCATCCCCACTAAGTGTAGTTAATATTATTTCTCTCTTTTCTCATTAAGCCACATCACCCCAATTATTTTTAACCCTTGGGTGATAGATGTATGGTTCAAATTGTTGACTCAAAATTCATAAGTATAAATTTGTTTTAGTTTTAATAATCATGTTGCATCTTATTTATACATATTATACAATTTAATTTCCGGTAGCAACGCCGACGGGGTATTCATTTAGTTGCTAAGATGAGTAGTTCTTTAGGATTCCTTACATTTTTTACTAATAAATTTTCAAGCGTGCCGAATGTTTATTTTGTGGCTAGAGGATTGGCTTCATACATATACTGCTACACAAGAAATACTTCATATACAAATCAATTATTTTTCATGCATATTATACACGCAGTTAAAGAGGGGGGGGGGGGATTTATGTGAAAATCGAATAGATTCTTATGAAAATTCTATTTAAAATATTCATGCGTTCCAAGTTCCAATCGAGCCCTTCATAGCTCAAGGATCTAATTAACAATATATGATTTTCTATATAAAAACTATTTTTCAAAACATAATATATTATCACTTTATACTAAGGTACCTACATATGGAAGAATTTAAGACGAGAGCATACAAAGCCAAATCATTTTACTCGTTTTCTTAAAAAGTATAGAAATATAGTTGGACAAAAGAAGGCAAAATAACTCCTAAAAAAATCCTAAAATAAAAAAAAATGAATTTTGTGTGGGAAACTTTAAATCGATTTCAGCCTCAAACTAGTTGAATTCAGGCAAAACTAAGCACCACTAATATGAAAATTTATAACATTCTTATTTGTATGACTATATAAACATTGCTGCATATATACTTTTTTAATAAGAAATTCACTAGTCAGCTATAAAAACATTGTGATTCAACACATAGCTATCAAACATAATATCTCTGGAGAGAAAAATATCAAACATTATCTAATAACATTCGATCCTCACGTCAAAACATACATATACACATGGTACATAGATTTTATTTTTTTTTACGAATTTCACTATTTTACTAAGAAAACATTGCAATTCAAACATGCCTATCAAACATATTTTTTTTTTGAAGAGAAGAATATATCAAATCAAACATAATCTAATTTCATTTTATCCTAAGGTCAAAACACACATTAACCCCACCAATCCGACCGTAGGCGGTAGCCAAAGCGTCCTCCACCGTCGGATCTAGGTCACCCCCCACCCCCCACCTCCCTATATAACCTCCCCTCCATCGCGAACCCTAGCTTCCCCTTCGCCGACGCCGCCGCCTCCTCGAGAGAGAGAGAGAGATTGAGAGAGAGCTCCGCGGGAGAGCGCGTCGAAGATGGTGCAGCGGCTGACCTACCGGAAGCGGCACAGCTACGCCACGAAATCCAACCAGACCCGCGTCGTCAAGACCCCCGGTGAGCGAGAAATTCGCCTCTTAGTTTCTTGTTCTTGGTGGTTAATCTTTTGTTTTCTTGTAAAATGTTTGATTGATGCTTAGCGACTGCGTTGAAATGTTGGAGAGTAGTTTTATCTGTACTGGGTGATGGTGGTGTTAGTGTGTTTTCACTTTCACCAGAAATCGTTGCCTTCTGGTTTTTTGTTTTTGTTTGAGTATATATATTGGGGTTTTTTTGTTCACCTGGATCTTGACTTATGGCGATTGTTCTTGATTTTTTTTTGTGTTTGATGGATTAGGTGGGAGGCTTGTGTACCAGTACACCAAGAAGCGGGCGAGCGGGCCGAAATGCCCAGTCACCGGGAAGAAGATCCAAGGAGTATGTGCTGCCAACCCTACTGTTTCTTTTCACCAATTCTCGCCTTAGTTTCGCTATAGTTCATGAGCATGTGTAGGTTTTATGCATCGTAAACAGCACTACCTGATTGATGCAATTAATCTGCTGTTTGATGACAATTTAGGATGCCAACTGTTTGCTCTGGAAATCGTTGTGAACAGGTTGCATTTAGTAGTATCATGTGGTATTTTTTTTTGTTCATGTGAAATGGTTGCAAAAGAGGGAGTGATGCTGATTGTCCCTGATTCGTGCTCATTGTGCTGTTTTTACTTAATTTTTCTGTTGTGAATCTCGTCGCATTTCCCCTTTCTAGTTTAGCTCAAATCACTTGTCTTCGAACTGCAATTTCCCCCTTTTTTATGGCCAAAGGTATATGCATGTTGATGATTTGGTTATACACTTTGTTTTTTCTATGTTAGCACAGACAGTTTGCATGCAATGTTATATGCTTGTCCATGCTTCTGCATACGTTTTTTTTTTCTGATAGTGGCATGTGGTGTCATGCATAGTTTCCTTGTGTCATGAAAACTGAAATAACTGGACTATGGGATCCTTACCCAATGATTATAGAGAAACATGACAATACCTGATTTCTATGTGGACACTTAACCTTCTCTGTGAGGCCTACTTTGTAGCACATTCTTCTCTTTTTGTCTTTATTTACAAGAATTTTGTAAACAGTTCCTTTTTTTGTTCTTTTGTGTGGAGTTTTTTTGCCATCCCTTCACTGTCTTGCATTGGCTCCAGAGCAATGCTGCACCAGAATTTCTAATCACATTAAGGGGTGTGTATCGACTACTTTTTGCCGAGTCATATAGTGACATTGCTTGATTTGTCACCTGTTTGGTTCATTCAGAATGTTGTATCATCTTGGTTTTTCCTGTATAATCTTGGTTTTTCCTGTATACTTTAATTTTCTTATCTGAGAAGTTACTTGGGCCAATGATTATATAGAAACATGACAAGCATATGTCTGAACTTTCCATGTGGATTAAGCCTAATCTTCTCTATGAGGCCCTTTCTAAGTTAATCATATATTTTTGTGATAATGGAAAATTAATCTGTCAAGCTATCACATTTATTTGCCCATATGTATTAGTTTTATGTGGAATGCTTGTTTGTTCCGTGTTATGTGCATTAACTCACCTTCATAAAGTGCGCCCCCAGATAGTGAGGTCGGATGATGAGCAATTGCATAGTTCAAATGATTACATTTGTAACTACTATGATTACATCTAAAGTCTTTCGCTCCTAACTGACGACTTTATGTGTTCACTGTCTATCTGGAAAATCTGAAGGGCTCTTTTTTTGCAAAAAAAAAACTGATTTGCATTTTCTTTTGGCTTCTGATTGCCATTTACTTTTAATTGGCAGCATCTGTTTACAACCTTGATTTGTGTACCTTCAGTCTCCTTCATGGGTAATATTTGATTATGTTAAGCTTGCCGATCATCCGCATGCGAGTCATACTAATTAGAATTGGCTATATTGTTGTGCCATTCAGCATAAGAACTATGAAATTATACTCAAAGTACATCTGCGCTGATGTTGGATGGATTTTTATTGTTATTTTCCGTATAGCAGTAGGATATGTAGGAGTAGGTGTTTTCTAGTATTAGCAGAAATTGGTTGAAATAAGTTTTCTTTGAACCGGTATCTTAAGCTTCATTGTTAACATTGCAATATCCTTGGTTCTTACAAAGTTGCTTGTGCTAAACTGCAGATTCCACACCTGAGACCTGCTGAGTACAAGAGGTCCAGATTGTCAAGGAATCGCAGGACCGTGAACCGTCCTTACGGTGGTGTCCTGTCTGGTACTGCAGTCAGAGAGAGGTAAACCATCCAAACACATTACATGCTCCTTTCTTGCGATCAGTTGGTGAACCAATCTATCTGCACCTCGCAGGATCATCCGGGCTTTTTTGGTCGAGGAGCAGAAGATTGTGAAGAAGGTGTTGAAGATCCAGAAGACCAAGGACAAGTCAGCTAAATGATTGCAAGATAGAGACATTGCCGCGATGTTTAAGCTTCTCCAAATTTGTTTTTAAGCAATCAAGAGAATTTTTCTTCTGGATTTGGGGGAAATCCCGTTTCCTAGTGCTGCTAGTATGTGAGATCAAATCGACATGATTGTTTAAATTTTGAGCGCTAGTTCTCTAGAGTACTACTACAACCTTGTGTGGATCCTTTGATGCAAGTTTTGAAACTCCCAAGTCCCAAGTTTGCGCAAATGTTGTTTTGGCAGAAACTCCGTGTTGATGCTTTATCTTACTAGGTTCCTGCGATTAGCATGAACTGCGAATGGTTCTATTTTGGATATTTCATCAGTTGTGTACCGATCAGAAAACCATGGAAACCAGTAGCAGTGATGTTCTCAAACAAGAACTACCTAATCACTGAATTTAAGAGCTAGTATTAATCATTCTTCCATGGACAAGAATATGACGAAATCATGGTGATAGTTGCAGTCGTACTCAAAAAAAAAAAAAATCAATGGATACTATCATCTCCAAACCAGGAGCAGTGATGTTCAAAAGAAAATGTATCTAATCGGTGAATTATGCAATAAGGTGAAAGCATAATTAAACAACCTTTAGACCTAGATTTGATCGGATGTAGCTAAAGTGGTCCTCCAAGTTTCAGCTGAGACTCAGTTTAGTACTTAATGTTTCAATCTGTCCATACTAGTCCTTTAAGTTTATATTTTAGTTCAAACTTATCCTGGAACCCACTTGAAAGCCACATGGCTAAACATAACCAATAACTGTCTTGATAAATGACAGTTATACCCCCTTCATTCACATATATAAGAGAAAAAATTACGTGCACTGAATTTTTTTTAATAGATAATGCATAGTTATTTATGTAAAACGAAAATAAATTATGTACTTGCAAGTTTGTACCATAGCTATTAGGCTTAAAATTTATGTGCACATATTGAAATAATGGAAAGTATATATGCAATAATGTTATTTATTCATCTTGGTTTTATCTTTTCTAGTGTATATAGTTATATACAAATTAAGGATAAAAGAGACATTTTCTAGCATAAATGTTGACTAGAAATAGCCATATAGTTATATACAAATTAAGGGTAAAAGAGACATTTTCTAGCATAAATGTTGACTAGAAATAGCCATATGGTATATTAAGTGGGCCTAAGAATGATTTCAAGCAAAAACAAATATTTAGAGGATCTATATGGACACAATGAAACCTAAAAAGCCAAATTGAGCCTTTGGTGAAACTTGAGGGGCTAAATTAGCTGTTCACTAAAAAAACTATTTTCATAACTTGCCTGGAAACTGCGAGACGAATTTATTAAGCATAATTAATCAGTCATTAGTCCATGTGAGTTACTGTAGCACTTCTGTCTAATCATAGATTAATTAGGCTCAAAAGATTCGTCTCGCGATTTCCATGCAAATTGTGTAATTAATTTTTTTTATCTATATTTAATGCTCTATGCATATGTCCAAAGATTTGATGTAATGTTTTTGGGAAAAAAATTTTGGGGACTAAACAAGGCCTAAACTAAAAGTGTTTGAGATTGATTAAGATATAAGATGAAGATGAAGTTAGGACACGTAAACGAGAATGTCATTAGCACATGATTAATTCATTTTTAATTATTATAAACTTAAAAAAATAAGTTTATTTCATATAAAGCAACTTTATACAGAAATATGAAAAGACTTGGTAACAAAATCGAGGAAAAATCGGTATGACGAAAAGAAAAAAACACCAAGATGCCCTGATTAATTCCTCCAGGCATTGGCTTGCATAGGGTGGCGTTGAACCTAGACGCCTCCAGGCTCCAGCTTCCTTTTTTTGGATATGGGATAGTTCGATCACTGGACATTCTCAAGCTTATATTCTTGGCGTTGACATCTCTTGAGTACTTTCTCGGTTTTTCCTCTTTATTAATATACATTGAACCTGGACATGTTTTCAGCCATAAGTAAACCTATGGCTATGGGTTTAATTTCAGAAGGAACACGTGAAAAAACTGAATTTAAATTTCACGAGGAACACACGAAATGATAAAAACAAGTTGCTGCTCAAGTTATAGCATAGCATGGACTGTATGCTCCGTTTTCTAGGACTCCCTTCGTCCTAAATTATAAAATTATAAGATATGTAGGTATTTTAAAATTAAGCTCTTATAGTTTGATGAACTATTACTCTAATATGAATTATATTTTATTATGTGAAATAATATAATTAGATTGATATTTAAATGTACACTTTCCTATTATCATGATTTTGTTGCTACTAGCATAGTTACTATGTGAGAAGACAAAAGGTTAAATGATAATTTTAGAGACCGTGTCAGTTTTGATCACACCTTATATCTTATGACGGATGGAGTAGACTTGGCAATCGTTCCTATTCTGTAAATAATCTTATAAATACTAAAAAATACATATCAAGTACGACGTGGTAGATGTGAACATATAAATCTCGTTTATCATAGTCAGACGATTTAAATTAATGATATCAGTGGTCAAACTCAAGCAAGTCCTTTTCAAAATTGCCAAATACTCGCTTTGTATTTTTAATAGATGATGCCGTTGATTTTTGGACATATTTGACCATTTGTCTTATTTAAAAAAAATTTATGCAAATACATAAGATATAAATCTGCGAAAGGACCTGTAGCCTAGTGGTTACAAGAGCCTCAGTAGCACCTGAGATCCTGGGTTCGACTCCCTATGGGAACGAATTTTCCAGGATTTAACGGTGTTGTGCTTTCAGTGGTAGACGACGTAGGGGTGAGTGCGCGTACGTAAATTTTTTGAATAAGACGAATGATCAAACGTGTGTCCAAGATATAACAATATCATCTATAAAAAAACGGAGGTAGTATTATGAAACGAATGGAGTATTAAATATATATTTTTGGTAGCTATATGTTTTCCATGATGTGTATGCACTCCCTTTTGTGGATCACTCCATTTTGTTCACAATTTTTGAAACAACATTTAAGTTTGTTAGGCAGTATTTTCTCCCTAGCACATGTGCATACAGCATACTGAGACTGGGATGCTTTGGCACCATGTAATCATCTAGATCCCATTGCATTTTGGTATGAAAGGAATGTGCATGGCTGCAACATGAGCAGGTCATCCTCTTCAAGTTTCCTCCATGAATAATTGAACGAAGCATTCACCTTTCTTCGATTCCATGGACCTCACTACCCCCGGTAGAGATAGATTCCCGATTATCCGGCCGCAATCACGGCCAGGTTCATTCAGCTAGAGCAATCTCTTGTGCATGTCTGCAAGAGAGAAGACTAGAAGAGTACGAGGAGGAAGAAGGGAGCTGAGCTGAGAATTAGCTACTCCTAGTGTCTAGCTACCTTATAAATAACAGCCAGCACTAGCTACCTCGGTGTTCATCAGCAAAGACGACAAAGGAAGAACTAGTAGTAGTGTACAAGTAAGGTGGTTACTGGTTAGTGTCTAAAGGTCTTGGTTGGTTGTTACCTGGAGTTTCCTCAACACACTTCACATCTGCTAGGCCCTATTACAATTGCGCAATGTGGAGTCTGCAATTGGTAGTGAAGTGTTTGGGGGAACTCTAGGTGGCACCTAGCATTCGTTCTCTTGGAGAAAAGGGGTTATAGAAGTCGTAATCGGAAGAATCACACTTTGGTTTTACCGGGAGTTCTCTTCAAGCACTTCACGTAGAGCTTTCTATTGACATGGAGCTTTAGAACAATGTGAAGTGTTTGGGGGAACTCTTGGTACCAAGGTGTTATCGTGCTAGCAATGGTACTCCTACACGCATAACTATCGTTGCAGATCTCGCTTGGTGTTCCCAAGAGTTCCTTGCAAGCACTTCACATAGAACTTCTGTTACTCTCATGTAACATTGGGAACTTGAGAAGCTACTGTGAAGTGTTTGGGGGAACTCTAGGTGGCACCTAGCATTCATTCTCTTGGTGAAAGGGGCAATGGAAGTCGTAATCAGGAGAATCACACTTGGTTTTATCGGGAGTTTCCTTCAAGCACTTCACGTAGAGCTTTCTATTGATATGGAGCTTTGGAACAATGTGAAGTGTTTGGGGGAACTCTTGATACCAAGGTGTTATCGTGCTAGCAATGGTATTCCCACAAGCATCACTATCATTACAGATCTCTCGGTTGGTGGCCCCAGGAGTTCCTTGCAAGCACTTCACATAGAACTTCAGTTACTCTCATACAACATTGTGATTTTGAGAAGCTATTGTGAAGTGTTTGGGGGAACTCTCGGTGCCAACAAGCATTTACAAGGCATCAACAATGATTGTGGATACAATGGTCATCATATGCCACGTTTGATGTCCCTAAGCGTTCCTTCCAAGCACTTCACACAGAGCTTTTATTTCTCTCACATCGATTGAGAACTTAATTAGAAGCTTTTGTGAAGTGTTTGGGGGAACTCTTGGTGCCATCAAACATTTCAACAGCAGTAGTATATCTGTATTCTACCCTGATTTATATTTTTTATCACATTTTGTGTCTAAAATTTTCCTTCTAAAATTCAGCCTCACAGCGCAGAGTAGATTACATGAAATATACTTCATTGAAGATGACAAAAGTTTAAGTTTCCTTGTTTATATTAAATTAAGTAGAAGTTAAAGTTTATGGCATACAAAAGAGAAGTGAAACATACTCTTACAATGAAATATAGTAGTCTAAAACATATAGAACTGTAAGATCATAGAATGAACACTAAAGCATATAGATATTGTGCGACAACAAAGCATGTGACAATGACATTTTGATATTCATACTTAGATATTTTGTATGCTCTAATGCACACATCTTCTTTGTAATAATAATGGTGATTTACCCCTCTCTTTTTTTCATGATCCTTTTAGCACCACAAGCATGGCCATTCCTTTTTAACTCATTAGGCCATTATTTTCACATATAACTAACTCTTATCGTTCCAAGCATGGTAATAGTAATGCTCTTACTTAATTAGTACTCCAGCTTCTAATTCTAGCATCGCTCAAAAATAGCTCATGTTTGGTTTTTTTTTGTAACATGTTAGCAAAGGGATACATGTTGGGTATTGTACAGTTATTGCACTAACTAATTAAAGGAGCAACATATACCTTATTGTATACCAGGAACAAGAAGTACTTAAGGGCCTATTTGGTTAGCATACTCACATTGCTAAAGCTTGCCGTACTTTTTATTAGCTAACATGCCTAACACGTGGCTAACAAAATTAAAGCCATACTTTAGCCATAAGAGAGGAGCCTTGCCACACTTTTAAATTCTAATGACATGTGAGACCCACGTGATGATGAAGGAATCTTGACAAAAGTGGCGCATGAACCAAACGGAAGCCTTACTTGATCAAACTTGCCTAATGTATTGTGGAAGTGAATCAAACAGCACCTTAGAACTGCAGTAAATCCGACAATATTCCATGTGTTAACACACTAAAGACCGTTTGATCTTTGTTTAATAAAGGAGGTAAAAAGGAGGAGATATATGCAACTGCTAGACTACAATTTACATCCAGTAGTCCACAGCTGAGCAGTTTACTACTGACATTCTGGGGATGTATAGCAGTATCCTTTTGTGTATGTCAAGGTTCAGATTTCTCCTTCACCTTCAGATGGTGTAATAATTTCAAGTATTCTGCATACAGCATACTCACGCAGGGGACGTGCAGTAACAACAGCAACATTCTTCAAAGATACAAGTCATTTTTGAAGAAAACTGGACAGGGCCAGGGCTGATGGAATCAGCTCAAAATTTCAGTTCTCAGTAAAACCAGAGAAACCATGAGGCAGGCAGCAATGCACTGTCAAATGTAATCACCCTGTACAATCTTCCTTGCAACATATTTCCCCAGGAAATCAAACCCATGTGAGTAGAGAGCTTCGATCTCGGCACGCTTGCCTGTCTCCAACATCAGTGTCAGCTCAGCTCTGTGCTTGTCCTGCAGCCAACACAACATCATCATTACAATATTGCATGTTTCCAATTCAGAAGGCAACATGATCAGAAACTAAGGACTCCCATCGTTCCTGTAATGACAAGAACAGTACATTTTTTCACCCACTGGGGTAAACACTGCCTATAAGAAGGCCAGACAGTATTGGCATGTAACAAGATCTCAGAATGGCTAGATAATTCCATTGCAGCAGTCCTCAAGGACATTTTGCTGAAACATGATCTCAATTTCTCATGTGACCAAACCTTTTGATGCATATTGAAACTTGACCAAAGAAGTTTGGTGCTACTTGATGCATGGACAGAACATATATACTAGGTATCAGGTTGCATTGTGATTGAACCATTTTGCACAGTTGTATCCATGTTTTAATTCTATGTTCCAGATACTTCTACATAGTCCAAAAGTTGAGGGTTAGCAGACTCACCTGCAGAAACTTAGATGACAGCAAGCTTTTGGCAATCTGCAGATCACGTGGCTTCAGTTCTTGATATGCGCTCTGAGGTATAAGCTGCAGATCATCTCCTCTTAGGCCAAGCCATTTTACATTGCAAGCTGTAAAAAGCAACATTAATTTTTTTCGAAAATTTGGCATGATCAAACATCGATCACTCAAAGGAAGTACCATATCTGTATGATTCCAAACCCATTGAAATGCTTCCATACTTGTAAGTGCATAGTATAGCAAGCCCTGCTGGGTTCCTGAAAAATGATCAAAAAAAGAAAACTAACTTCACCTGAAATATAAAGAGAAAGTCAGCTATACATCAGCACTTGGAAGGACCAAACCAGTCTACTAATGCGAAAATCGGCATGTTCGGATAAGTCTGGCTCAGTCGATGCAAGATAAACCTGTTCCAGAACATTGAATAGCAAATAGTATAAGTATACAAGATAACCTAATAATGTTGACAATATCATGGTCACATTGAGTGTATTCTCTATCACATAAGCTGGACAAATTTAGATAAGAAAAGAGTAATGCACATTTAAGGCACAGAACCTTGTGGCAAGATCAGGATATCCTTTTGCAGTAATCAGGATACACGGAAGGTGACTATATATGCGATCTTCAGCCAGCCTCTGAAATATGGCATCCTATATCAAACCAGCGAGCGATCAGCTGGAAGTAACTAAGAGGGGGCAATACAATACCACTAGATTGCACAAGCAAAGAGAGTACCTTCTCCACTACAATGATATACCGCGCATCTGAAGAAAAGATTAATTTGCTCAATACATTGAGATCTCCAGTGATCGCATGCCCAGAAGGTCCAAGAATGGAGCAGTCAACATGTTCTTCCTCCGGCCCCTAGGACAATTTAAACACAGGTTCAGGCTGCTGCTGCAAGATAAACAAGAGATGCAATCAATATGCAACACATGTTCCACTCATCATAGCATGGGATGAGGCACACCTGCACCACAAGCCGCCCAATCAGTGCCCCTCTACTCGACGCCATGATCCCCAGGCTCTGCCTCGTACACCGGAGCAACGAGACGACATCTGCGCAAGAACACGGCACAAACATTATGAGACACCAAGTTAGAGCAACCGACAAAAAAAAAATGGAGTCAGAATTCAGAAATGCGTGGACCTTGAACAGTCTGGTTGACATGCCGCTGGCAGGTGAAGTAGGTGGGCGATTCAGAGAGGAGCGTGTAGAACAGCTCCCTCAGGGTGACCAGCTTCCCCTCCCCCAAAATCTTGTAGCACATCTCCATCACCTTCCACACTGTCTCAAGAGCAAATGAGAACGAATCAAACACACTTTTTTTGGCTGAAGTTGAAGATGGAAAATATCATCGTTTCAAAAAACAGAGTAAATTTCACAAAACCACACCTATTATAGTCCAAGTTGTACAAAACCATAGAAATTTTGACACGTTGCAAATAACCCCGGGTATTATGCTCTTAAAAGCTTCACAAAACCACGTCGTTAACCAATTTAACACTCCCACGTCAAAATTTACATGGATGTCACATTCATATGAACTCATAAATTTGAGATTTAATTGCACAGAACTTAAATGTACGGTAGATTAAAGTCAAAATGATCGATAGCGTGGTTTTGTCAAAATCCTCGTGGATTTGTGTAACTGAGACTATGGTTATATGAAATTTACTTTTTAAAAATAAGATGGAAGAGATCATCAAGAGGCAACCTCTAACGAATGCCTTGGCGTCGTTGGCCCTCGTGAGGGATCTCTTGCAGGAGGCGTAGGAGAGGTACACCGACGAGACGTCGTCGCGCAGCAGCGCGCGCCGCAGGCCGCGGTTGGCGGCGCCCCGGCTGATCAGCGGGAGGGCGGAGATGGCCGGTGCGGCCGGGTCGGTGAGCGCCGCGAGGAAGTTGAGCACCGCCACCTCGATCCTCGCCCGCACCTGCCGGGATTCGACCGCGTGACGTCAGCTTTGCCGCGGCTCGGTCGAAGCGGAGGGGAGGGGGGGAGAAGAGGAGGAGGAGCGGCTGACCTCGGCGGGAGGGAGGATGTCGGCGGAGCAGAGGCGGCGGTCGGCGCCGAAGAGCGAGGCGGCCGCCACTCCCGCCTCCGCCATCCCGTACTGCCGCGGCGGCCGTGCGCGAGCTCGCCGGCGGCGGCGCCAACGGACAACTCGCCCAGGTTTCCGCTTTCCCGTTGGGGAGGCGGAAAAGAGGAGAGACGCCACCTCGTTGTAGACTTGTAGCGGGCGGGGCCTAGAAATGATGGGCTGTAATATACATGGGCTTTGTAGGTAGATGGTGGGCCGGACCAATATAAAGGAGGATAAAGACAAAATGGTTTAGCTTTGGTCCTCATATTTTGTAATCGGCCATTTTATCCCCAGTAGATTTGGTTATTTTTAACCCTCAACTTTAATGACTTGTACCAGTGTGTACTCATTGTGCAGTGCAAACTAGAGGATCCAAACAAGTCCCCATATGAAATTATGGTGATTTCCTCTTATAAGAAAAAGGAAATTGTGGTGACCTTTTAAAAGGAACTAATAATGTAAGCTTCTGGGAAGGACTGAAGGTTTAGTTATAAGTATTTGTATAAAAAGTGTAATAGCATTAATATTTTAATAGTAATATTTCATCCATTGAAAATATTTATAGAAGCATAGTGCAACAACCATAATCTAACCAAAAGAATGGAAGTTAGTGATCAAGGCCGAGGGTAGCGAGTAAAGGACTTGCCATACATAGTTTTTTTTCCCCTCCGTTTTTAAATAATGCCAACACTGGCTATAACTATTTTTAAATAATTGCTAAAAAGTTATATTACAAATAACGGGGATTTTATGGTTATATTTCAGACGCCATACACTTTAACAAATATGCCATCTATTTTAGTGTTTACAATTTGTTTTGAAAGAATGAGTAGTTAAAGTTTGAAAATGAATAATATTCTGTGTGAATTATTCGAAAGGGTAGCTGAGTATAAGAATTACCACTCAAAAGTTGTACTTTAAATAAATTCGAAACATATTATTGGGAAGTGATTTTTGATGTCATTGAGCTGACGAGGTCATTAAGGTTGTATTCTTCCCCCTTCTTCCCCAACTCACTCCTCTCATTTTCCGCACACACGCTTTCTAAACTATTAAGCAGTGTGTTTTTTTTTGAAAAAAAAAGATTATGTGAAAGTTACTTTAAAAATTCATATTAATTCATTTAAAAAATATTAGCTAATACTTAATTAATCATGCACTAATAAATCGCTCCGTTTTGCTGGTCGGAGAGATTAGTTCTGAAAGGGTCAATTAGGCCTAGAGGGGGGGTGAATAGGCTAATTTAAAACTTTATACGGAAGCTAAAACTGATATAAGGTCGGAAAGTCTGATCCACAGTCAGACTATCCGAAAATATCAGATAGTCTGATGTTGGATCAGACTGTCTGATCCACCAAGGAAGCACAACAAGTAGATCTATCACACAAACAAGAGTAAAGCACAAATAGCGACTAGATCTATAGCGGCACAATTAAGCAAAGCTAAAAGGAGGATGAAGGGAGATCACCAATGATGAAGTTCACGAAGTTGTTCCCGGAGTTCAAATCCTTAAGGGGATTCTACTCTCCGTTGAAGAGCTCACTAAGAGCCGGGTCTTTGCTAACATTTTCCTCAAGAGGTTGCACTAAGCACTCCTTCCACTAAGGGGTATCTCTTTCCTTTGCGGAGGCGAGATCCGGCCTTCACAAACTTCTCCCGGCCAACCACACGTAGATCGGTGCCTCGGGAGTGACACCTAGCCGTCTAGGAGTCCTCAACCTCCAAGAGTAACAAACACCACACAACTCTTGGTCAAACCCTAGTGCTCAAGATCGAGTGAAACACACACTAGGCCCTCAAACACCAAATCCACAACCACCAATATCCACCACACAAAGAAAAAGGAGGGATTTGAGAGAGGGAGAAAGAGCTCAAAGATCCAAAGCACCTTAGCACCAAGCTCAATCCAAAGTGAATGAGAATGAAATGAGTTGGGTCACCCTAGAAAAGGGTTAGGTGGGGGGTATTTATAGATGCCCCCAAAATGTAGCCGTTGGAGGGGAATCTTTCAGCCCACGTCGGATAGTCCGATATTTTAAACCTCCAAGGCAACGAGAAACAGAGAATGAAGTTCCATGAAATTTCGGACTTTCCGAGGCATCGGACTATCTGATGTTAAATCGGAGTATCTGATATTTTAGAAGTAAAAACCTCGTCCTCAAACAGAGACTCAAGTTCTATGAAATTTCGGAGTCTCTGTATCATCGGACTATCTGATCTGACATCGGATACTCCAATACTTAGAAAAACTCACTCGATAGGATTTTTTCAAATCAAGACAGAGAGTGAAGTTCTGTGAAAAATCGGATAGTCCGATATATCGGATAGTCTGATTTCAAATCGGATAGTCTGATGTTGCTCAAGTAAAAACGCAATAACTTTTTACTCCGAACTCCGATTTCGAAGTTCTTGGACTCTATGGAAAGCTAGTTTCGTGGGCTATCAAACCCAACATAAAACATGGTCCAAAACCTTCAAGAGATGTTGAAAAACTTGCAAAGAAACCCGGTGTAAGTGTTGTGACGAGTGAAACAACTCGGGATTGAAATTTTGCCTTAGGTTTTTCAACTCACACAAAGATGAAGCATTTTGAGCACTAGTGTTCTACCAATTATATGCATGTGGCATCCCTCTTAATAGTACGGCATTCCTACGACACAATGCAAGGTAAAAGATACAATATAACATTTGATCATTGCCGCATTGCATCGTGATGTCGCATTCATGAGGTATGCATCTCATTACAACATGTCGAGGACATAACAACCTTCACATTTGCTTGAATAAAAGTGTTAGTCCTCTCTAATCGTATTGTAATCAATCATCAAAATTATTAGGGGCCTAGATGCACTTTCAAGTTCCCAACCCAAGGTTGTGCTGCCCCGTTTCCTTGTGTCAGAAACTAATTACCTCCACACAGAAAACAATATCTTATTAGCATATAATTAATTATGGATTAGCTAAAAATCTTTAGAAAATGATTAATATGATTTCTTTCAAAAACAACTTTTCTATAAAAACCTTTGTTACAAAATTACAAATTGTTTAATGATTTGGGAAGCATGTATGAAGCTACAGGAAGAGGAGGAAGGAAAGAATATATTACTAGGAAAATGAAAAAGAAAATTCACATTGGAAAAAAAAATGAAGCAGAGGGTTGGAAATGGAATGGTCTAGATCGAGTGTTTGGCAAAAAATAAAAAATAAAAAAGGTGGGAGAGAGAGAAGGGTAGTGAAGAGCAAACCGCAACCAACTAACTCTCCCGGGAGATCACGGGCATTTTCCCTCCAAAACCCCCTTTTCATCTTCTTCCCCCCTTTCCCCTTCTTCTCCCCCCCCCCCCCCCCCCCCCCCTCGCCTTATCTCCTCCCAACGCCATTGAATCCAATCCAATCCTCTAGGCTTTACCTCCTCCTTCTCCCTCCTTGAGGCGACCGGGTTCGTTTCTTGGCTGGTTTTCTTGGGCGGCGATCGATCGATGCGCATGGAGGGCGGCGGCGGCGGCGGCCATGGCCATCACGGCGGCGGCGGCGGTGGCCATGGCCATCACGGTGGCATCGGAGGAGGGGAGGCGCAGATCAAGGGGACGCTGACGCACGGCGGGAGGTACGTGCAGTACAACGTGTATGGTAACCTGTTCGAGGTTTCGTCCAAGTACGTCCCTCCCATCCGCCCCGTCGGCCGCGGCGCCTGCGGCATCATCTGGTCAGTTTCAGACTTTCACTTCAGTTCATCTCCATCTAATTCTGATTCTTCCTCCTCTGGATTGTTAATTGCTTTGTCAACCTCGTGTGATCGTGAATTCGTGATGAACTGATCGATGATCATCATGTTCTGAATTTGTTGATTTTGTGGCTGGTTGATCATCATCATTCATCATCATCTTGTTTCTTGTTTCATCTGCAGTGCGGTTGTGAATGCGCAGACTCGTCAGGAGGTGGCAATCAAGAAGATCGGCAACGCGTTCGACAACCAGATCGACGCCAAGCGCACCCTGCGAGAGATCAAGCTGCTTCGGCACATGGATCATGATAATGTGAGTAGCTGTTGCAATCTCTGCTTGCTTTTTTTACTGCAGGCTCTTGTTGTAAGTTCATGTGGTTGGCTCATTGGCTGGCATACCCCATTCTTTTCGGGTATGAATTTTGTTTTGCCACTCTATGTTGATTGACCATGGTTAAACTCTGTAGTTTCATTGCAAAAGGTAAGCCGTCCTGAGGGGATGTTCACAAAATTTCTGGCGATTTTTTCTCTCGAGCAAGGCCAAATTCTTTTATTTCATCCCAGCAAAGAATTGCCATAGATATTTTTAGCTTCAGATGATCTTTTTAATGTGTTTTAGATTTTCTCTTTTGACTCATTGTCCAACTTGAGTGTGAATTCAGTTTGTGTTATTAATATTCACTGATGATATGGAACATATATATGTAGTGTCTTTTATCTTGGCAATACTAGGGATTGTTAGATGATTAGATAGTAACAAGAAACAATTTTTTTTGTGACTTGTGACAAAATCTAGCCATTTTTCACAGGTCATCTCAATAAAGGACATCATACGGCCACCAAGGAGGGAGAACTTCAATGATGTCTACATTGTCTATGAGCTCATGGACACTGATCTTCACCACCTTCTTCGATCAAACCAGCCACTAACAGATGATCACTGTCAGGTCTCACTCTATTCTTGTTTGTTTCTGTATTAAACCATCTCTTCGTTATCCATCAATTCAATTCAAGCACTAAATAACTGTAAGTTTTCTCTCCATTCTAACACATCCCCTTCTTTTTTTTTTTTGCAGTATTTTCTCTATCAGGTACTACGAGGATTGAAGTATGTGCATTCAGCAAATGTCTTGCACAGAGACCTCAGGCCAAGTAATTTGCTGCTGAATGCGAAATGCGATCTTAAGATCGGAGACTTTGGATTAGCAAGGACCACAAATGAAACTGACTTCATGATGGAGTATGTTGTTACTCGATGGTACAGGGCACCTGAACTCCTGCTAAACTGCTCAGAGTACACTGCAGCTATTGATATCTGGTCGGTAGGCTGCATCCTTGGTGAGATCGTTACAAGGGAGCCTTTGTTTCCTGGAAAGGATTATGTCCATCAGCTGAGGCTAATAACTGAGGTATGATCACTAATTCATAATTCAAGATACTGTCTTCTTTGCTATCAGTCAATCATCTGTTCATGGGAATGTTGTTTTTTTGTTTGTTCTTTTGTTAGCAACTTCAATAAGCTATTTATGATAATATGTTGAATATCCAATCACAATTCATAGGTTGAAGCTTTGGATTATGTTTTTCTTTAGTATCACATGGTATTATTCAGATCAGCATTTGGTGATACTTCTTGGTTTCTGAAACTGACTTGCACTCCTTTTCTACTGAATGGGTTATCTCCTACAGTTTTGATCTATTCTGTTTATAACTTTATTTTTCACTCTTTGATCCAAAAAGTTAATAGGCTCACCTGATGACTCGAGCCTTGGGTTTCTTCGAAGCGACAACGCCCGCAGATATGTGAGGTCGCTTCCTCAATACCCCAAGCAACAATTCCGTGCACGGTTCCCCACTATGTCTAGTGGTGCCATGGATTTGCTTGAGAGGATGCTTGTGTTTGATCCCAGCAAAAGGATTACTGGTAATTTTGCAGCCTTGCATAATCTTGCTAGATTGCAAAATGACATATTCTGCTACCTGATACATAAGCTGAAATGCTTCTTGTCATTATAACTAAGTTTAAATGACATTCATGTACACACTAATTAATCTCAGATCCTGACAATAACATGAGATACTAACCTTGACTTCTGTGGCATTGCAGTTGATGAAGCTCTGTGCCATCCATACTTGGCATCCCTTCATGAGATATATGATGAACCAGTCTGCCCAGCGCCTTTCAGCTTCGATTTCGAGCAGCCGTCGCTCACCGAAGAAGATATCAAGGAGATCATATGGAGGGAGGCACTTAAGTTCAACCCTGAACCAATTCACTAGATGAATTTCCAATGAAGAACGGAAGCAGATCACACTGGCAGATGATCATCCATCCACTCCTTGGGGAAGACATGAGCCAACAGCATGATGTATAGTTGATCACCCTCTCAGCATCTCATCTTGTGGCTTGTCAGCGACACCCTGACATCGCAAATTCGGACATTTATGAAAACAAGAAAAGCTTGATCAAATAATTTGTAGTACGAAAAAAATCAGGAGCTTAACTGTATCTTCTTGTTAGATTTGTATCTATCCCATTTGGTTGTATGCTTAAGAAACCTGGGAGCTTGTCACTAGTTATGGAGGTACAGCAATCTCCAGATACTCTTCAGTCATCAGTTCAGTTCACCAGCTGCAAAGATGCTCTAGACTCTAAGTGAACTTAAAATTATTTCGATATAATGTGCACTTACTCATTGGACTCGTCATCCTTGTGATTGCCAAATGCCATCTGCATCATCTTGAAGTCCATAGGGTGAACAGTCTGATTATTGATTCTTCTGAACATCACCCTCCTGGAGTTCCTCTGGAACACACAAATGAATGATCAAGTCTCCAAAAGAAGTATGAATTTACTTCTGTGCAATTGAGCAACCGCAATCATCAGCAATTCTACACCCATTGTAAGCTTAACAACACAACAATCCACAATTACCGCACATGTTAAAAGCTACAGCGGTACAAATTTTAGGTACAAATTAGCCTTTTTAACATAATCAGTAATGTGCCCACATAGAAACGAGTCAATGACCTTGCAAGCACAGAATTCTGAAGTCATTACATCATGCTTTTTAATATTTTGTGGGCACCAGTAATCATTCAATATGGAATAAACGAGACACGGTAATAGCAAGGCCTTCTATGTCCAGTCTTTTCCTGACAGAGCTAACAAGAATAATTTTTCATACTTGATGTCCTATGGTCAAAAACTCTTATCATGGCATCAAAATTTGCATGTCCACATTGCAGGTTTGCAGCTCACAATGTCCCCCAAAACTCCCCACAATGAGCGTAAACCATGGACCATTTTGACGCAATGAGCTGCACAAATGGGAAAACAAGAAGATGGAGCAAAGTCATAATACTTGCAGAAATCATTGAATTTCATGCTACATAGTACACATTGAGGACAACATCGTTTGTATACACTTTACACATGATTTCTTGGGGGAACATAACAAATTAAACAACAAAACGGCCCGATTCTTTTTGAATCCTTGAAATACTACTGCTATTTATCCTTGGTTAAACCCCTGAACATTATCACACAGAGGTCTGATGCTGAAACAATGCACTGTATTATACATAATCCTATGATTCCTATCACAGATGCAACACGGTTTTCTTGAATAACAATGAGATGCTGATGCTCATGGGTTCCTGCACCCCCATGAAGGGAGGAAATTCCATGATGCATTGTTCCAAATATGTTGTAGTCAAAGTTATGTAAAGTGGCAACATTTTTATCAAATTGCCATGAAGTGCCAAAAAGAATAAAGAGTTTATCATGCACTAAAGCATATACACTAGCAGCATAGTGTCCATTATCTTTGGATTATTAAATTTTGTGCTTAAAAATTCCGTGTACCACATACAAGAATATTTTTTTTAACAATTAACCCACATGCCCTTTTTTAGTAACTGTAGATGGGGCATGGAAACCCCTGGGAACCAACAAATATCCCTTTTACCGTAAGGCAAGATGACAATTTTATGCAGAAAATTAAACTTTAAATGGAATACAAGCATTCAAGTTGTACCAACATACAACGATATATCAGTTAGTATCCAATCAATTTAATCATGTCAGTGCTAAAAAAAAGAAGCATCTACAATGTGCATGTCATCTCAAACTGAACTTACTGCGATTACCTAAGAAACTGGTAATCCTAAGATGATTTTTGAAACTGTTGAACCTAAGGTTTGGACTGATGCAAAGTATTTTTGAATCTACAATTTTACAAACCATTCAAGTTTAAACTAAGAGGCAGTGTACAGAGAATTAACAAGATGCCACCTATCTTTTAACAGAATGTGTAGCAGATAGATTGGAAGATCAGGCAATTAAAAATTATAGAAGATATCTTGAAGAAATTCTTGTATTACTAATTACTGAAGACAAATTTACGGCATAAGATTGCACTACAATTTTGGATTGGCAGTTTCAGATCAAATCACCAAATAATGAATTTGCCTTGCCAATATCAAACAATAACAACAGATACAAGATGTTTTAGAATTAAAGGACAACAGTGTGTGAAAAATCCACAGTACCTCATTATATTCGGAGAGAACCCCAATAGATATACATCAAATTCTGTCTGAACAACAGAAATATGTCAGATTACAATATTACAAAAGCTGTATGATAATACTAGATGATAAATGAGATAATACCTGTTTATTACCATGTGGCTGAGATTGCATCAGCATATACACAAGTTGATGATGAACAAGAAACTGTTCTGGGAACAGCAGATCACCTGAGGTACTGCTGTTATCACTATAAGTAACACATTTCAACAGCTAAGAACATAGTCACAAAAATAATTGACATTTTGTTATGAAGTATTTGGCACTAAACACAACTGTGGCTTCAACCTCCCTTAATCAGTAAGATGTCTCTCTCAGTTATGTACATTTCTGTTGTTTTAGGTAAGCACTTCCATCTACCTCATAATGCTTTCATAATTTTAGGCTAAAAAGGAATATTACAACTAAAACCATTGCATATTGGAAAATAATGCCTTACATCATACAAGGTCATTGCAGTCAGTTCTCTTTCTTTTTCTTTTTTACTTCAATGAAAAAAGATACACCAAAATAAATTTGACAATTGACACAGTGACACCACAATTTCCATTTGCAAAACCACAATTTACTCTGCCTGTAACACTGCTCTTGATCTTCAACAGATGCTCATTAGCACTCCTAGTACATAAATACATCGCCCTCCAACGAGGATCATCCTGTCGACTGGAGGAGAAATGTCTAGCAAAAACAAGCTGCCCAGTGTCCTAACTTTAATAAATTGTTGTACTTACACAATCAAATTGAGAGAAACGAAAAACACATGCAAAATGGTGGTCTATATCATCAAAACAAATAGTTGAGAATGACCCCAAGACTTCTTTACAATGATGGTGAGACCTCCACCATCACTACTGAGACCAAAGTCTTTAGGTCCAGTTACACTGCCTTGTTTTGCATACTCTGCACTTCAAAATTTAGTTCTTGCCCAGAAGCACCAAGGTATGTTTTCTCGTCCACCCTGCACCCTATAACCACTTATAAAGGCACCACAGCACATAAATATGAGATCTTTGAGATTCATGTGTGCTGATTAAATTTGTTGGTGCAGGATGATGGTCATCTATATCTATTGATCAGTCAGAATATTCGTCTCCACTATACTGATCCATATCTTCTACTCGAGAATGCTTAGGATGGTCATAGAGATCATCATCAACCGAAGATCTTTGTCTCTTCAAATTCTCCTGCAAGGAAGAAAATATTAATATCTTGAACTTTAGTTAGAAGGTAGCAAATTTTGCACAAAAATGCGAACATACTAAGAGCAGCAGTGTTATTTCATAGCTACAATATGAACCAATTGCAGAAAATACTTATAAGATTATTTTGAGTTGGCATGTGGATTAAGGTGGATAAGAAACCTATAAAGAGAATACATATGACAGTGAAATCTTAATTGAATACCTTAGAAACTGGGAAGAGAATATTAATTAAGGCATTACTTATAATAGAGAGAATACGATAGGTGAGCACGAACAGGAAAATTTCACGTCTTATGTTTTTTAACTAGTCTGAGAAAATCCTGTGTTACAAAAAAAGGCAGTAATAAAACAAAGATTGTAGAATAAACAAGTTAGCTAGCAGCAGTATGTTGTCTAGTATAGAACTAGTGAACAACTAAATAATTTGCTGAATACCGAGATGTCAAGCCAACAATCATAAAGGGAGAACAAGTCGTACATGCATGCTAGAAGATTCTCCATGTTCCATCATACCACCATGAGCTGTTCTGCTCACAGTAATCCTGGAGGGCACTGGGAAATGCTCAATTTCATCCCCAGATCTGCCTTCTTTTGCTTTTTTCTTCTGCAATACTAGCTTAGTAGGAAGAGGCTGCAAAAAGAACATAAAAATGCCATATGTTCACAAACGTGCAATAAATCATTCTCACATATAAAAATTAATATAATATGCATAGAGCAAGTTACCAAATATTTTGCACCATCGTCATCAAATGTGACAAGATATGTCGTGGGATCATCTTTGTCATCCCCCCTTACCTGGACCATGAAACAAGATAAGATAAGTAAAACGGAAGAGCACTTCTACACCAGCTAACATTTTTTTTCTTTTTTTAAAGAAGATAGCAGAAACAGTAGAAAATATCCACATACTTCCCAGTGGTACTCCCTAAGCCAGGAATACTGAATATCTTCAGTTTCATCATCCAAGTCCTTGCTAAGCTGAAGGAAACCACGATAATCACCATGAGATTGATGCACCATTGGTAAAAACTAAAACTAAACATGCTACATGATATTTCAAATACATATGTATTAGAAAAGGATGGATACCTCATGGGGGGATGGAACCATGTATGCTAAAAATTTCTCTTGTTTTGCAGGGTCCGAACCATTGACAAGAAAACTTTTCATCACAGCCTGTCATGGAAGCATCAAAATGTCTCGATGATACTCAAGGGTATTACTAGGTGGAGTATTAGGCATATCCAAAAATATATGGATCTAAAATGCATATTGCTTTCTGAGAAACATCACTACGCCTCTAAAAAGTAGATGCACCCATATCAGCTCAAACATATTAAATACATGTTGCAATGGAACCTAGAGTTATGAGAACACCAGAAAAAAAAATAGCCAAAAAGAAAAAAACAACTCACCCGGGATTCGCATTCATCACGCTCAGATCTCTCTAGCTTGTTGTACTGCTCTGAATCGGCAGTAGGATCTCCATCAAAATTCACCATAACAAACTGATCATCATACCTAAAGATCAACAAAATTGTGAACCCAATATCAATTAAAATGTAACACTTTTATCGATCCAAGGCAAACATTTTGTTCAGTGATACCTTAGAAACGAAAACCAAAAGAAATAACAAAAACTACTATCATATAACTTTTTACAGCAACAATAGATTTTGCAGTAGACTATCTTGACATTACAGTAGGTGGGAAATCAAATAGCTTTTTTCTCTATTTAGATATGAAGAACACGCTGAAAAAACAAAGTATCAAGCCCAACCTATCAAAATCAGGAAGCAAAGGCAGAACCCATTCTGCTTCCATCCCACGTTTAGTCTGGTGAACAGGGCGTGATTTAGCTGCCCTGAAGGAGTCCTCAATGGCTTTAATTTGCTTCTCTCTGGTATACAAATGCATAGAGAAGTAGTGTCACTGGCTAGACCAGGTTTGCAAAACAGGGTGAGTGAGCTAGGTAAAAGGAAGCCATACCTGTCATTAATATTTTCCAAGAAAGTATTTCGGCCCTCCCTTGATTCTCGCCTTTCCTTCGCTTGCTTTTCAGTAATGGACTGGAATAGCCAACCAAGCTTATATAATATGTATAAAGTAATCCAGCAGAACCTCTGTAACTAAATCTACAGAAGGATGGTTGGCATTACCATTTTTGCTGCATCGGTGCTAAGTGGCGAAATATATTGTGTTTTGACCAGCCAAGACATACCCTTGTCGGTGGGCCTCTCTTTTTTCCTTATACCATCTTTTTTAACAGGGGTGAGAACCTCATCATCACGCAATAGCTCTTCATCTTCTGGAGCCATGGGTGGCTGAACAGGAGGAGTACTAAAAATAGTTTGTGCATAAGTTAGGTATGCTAAAAAGAATCTTCTTATAAGGATAGCAGCTAAGAATACATATATCTGGCTCAATTCATACTTATATACGCTCATATCAAGTAGGTCAAGAGGTATTCCGAGATCCTCGGGGACAATCATTTTGGGTATGTAGTTCTTCTCCAATGAAGTGATTCTGTATTTGGTATATCTGCAAAGAGGTAGCGGATAGCAAAACAAAGAGTGAACACAGACATCCTAAAATAATATTAAGAGCACCATGCACGGCGAAGAACAGTAGAGAGAAACAGAAAAATTCAACACAGACTAATGTTCTGGATAGCGGAATAAAAGTGAAAAGCAGAGGAGGCTATGCAAATTGAAAAAAAAAAATCAAAAGCAAATGGCACAGGACCTCTGTGTAGGTGTAACAAAGGTGCACTGGCAAGCTCTCATACACAATGAAGTAGCTAGTGATAATGACTGTTTTTCTAAGAAACAGTGTGCTTCAGGAACCATACATAAACCAGAATGTGGCAATCATTTCCTGTCAAGAGAATTACACAACTACCAGAAATATTCTAACTTAATTTATCCTTCAAGCCATGAAAAACATGGCTGCTGCATAACGCTCCAATACCACCACTTGACCTACTTCATCAAGGATCATGAAGTGATTTTTTGTGAAGATAAATTCTTCACAAAGATCTAATCGTCAGCATTCACAAAATGACATGGTAAATTAAAGGAACATGGAATAATTCAATTTTCTGCTCGGTCTACTACACCTAAATTCAAGCTGCCCAAATGACCGAAAATTTGGGAGAGTACTCTCTAACAACAAATGAAGGGCACTTAGTGGCAACACACAAAGAAAGGACTTACGCTCTATGATCAGTAAATGACCAACCTCAGTTGTCTTGACACAAAGTTATCTTCAAATCGGAAGATGATAAAGCTAGATAAACAACATTGAAATGGCTTGTACTGTAACAGGTGCATTGCTAATCACCACTACAACAAGCAACAATAGAAATCAATCCGAGAAAAAGGAGAGTAGACAAGTAGTTCTTTATACCGGTCCTTATCCTTGTTCAGTGGCAACCATTTTAGCTGAGAGCTTGGATCTGGCAGCTCATTCCTAAACCTGCACCAATCCATAACAAAAGATTCATCAAAGAGTTCCATTCTGAAATAGAGACATAATCGCAATATTACATTCCATGCACATCAGTTGCTCTGGAAAGTATCTAAATTTGGGAAAATGCCAATCACATCACTACAGCAATACTTTCACCTATATTTTTTTCACAGCGCAAAAGGGCTCCTCTTTTAATTTTATAAAAAGAAATAACTAAAGACAAGCATAACCCATCAACCTCTTAAGAACTATGAACTGTATTCTAAGTGACTATCTCGAATTAAGCATAAAGAACTAAAAGTAAAAAATAAAAATACAATAAAATGGTTGATTTGCATCTCAATGCCACTACACCATATGTTGCCTTGGAACATCTAATAGGCAGCTGCGGCTTGTCACTAGTCCAGCATCACAGCATTTAGCAACCGCGCAGGTTGCTCTTAAGGCATAAACCAACCAAAATACTACCAAACTGTATCTAAGAATAACTTTAAGTTTGATCAAAACACACACTTCACTTGTAAGACCAAAAGTGTTAGCTAAGAATTACTACAGTTTTGCCGAAAACATAAACTTCTACGACCTAATACACTCTCTTTTCTCCAATAGCTACTCTGATAATCACAGAATACAAAACTTTGTGCCACTCACTTGTGTTTGCAGAGGAAGGTCGTCGGCTTCTTGAGGCGATTCTCAAATCTCTCGGCGTTGGGAGCTGCGGCGGGGCGAGTCGCGGTCACCGCTGGCCGGGACCCACCCGATGGCTGCTGATGGTGGCGGCTCTGCGGCTGCTGGGCGGCGCGCACCTGCTGCGTCTTCTGCAGAACCGTGGCCTGTGACTGCCGCATCATCTGCTGGTTCTTCCGATCCTCGGCCCGCTGCTTCTCGTACTCTCGCTTCTTCCGAGCACGCCGCTCCTCCTCCGTCTCCGCCCTTGGCAGCGCCGACTTGCTCTGCTGCTCCCTCGGTGGAGGCGGAGCAAGCTGGGCCTCCCTAGGAGGCGGCTGCGTGGGAGGAGGTGGAGGCGGGGGTGGCGCCGAAGGTGGAGGAGACGGCGGCGGCGGGGGCGGAGGAGGCGGCTGGCTGCTGTTCACGCCGTACGGCGGCGGCGGCGGCGGCGGCTGGTAGTACATCTGCGGCGGCGGAGGCGGCTGCTGTTGCTGCGGGGGACCAGGGCCGAAGTTGAACTGCGGCTGGTGCGGCGGTGGCGGGCCCGGTGGCGGCGGCGGCGGCGGGGCCAGGAACGGCGGCGGCGCCCCCTGCGGCGGAGGCATGTGGCCGTACGCCGGCTGCTGCGGCGGCGGCGGCCCGTACGGGTTCATCGGCGGCGGCTGCGGCGGGAACCCACCCTGCGGCGGCGGCGGGTGCGGCGCGTACGGCCGGTACGACGCCATCCTAGGGTTTCCCCAAACCCTAACCCCAGCGCCGCAGCAGCAGCAGCAGCAACCCCGCGCCCGCGGCGGCTACCTCTCCCACCACCTCGTCGTCGTCGGAAGCTTCTAGAAGGGTCCAGAAGCAGCAGGGACCCACCAGATCTACGCGAGGGGGATCGCGATGCAGAGGAGGAGAGGAAGCTCGCGAGGTGTTCGACGAATCGACGAGGCGAAAGCGGGGGCGGAGAAATTCGGCGCAGGTGCGCGACGCGAGAGCAAAGCCACGCCACGGGGGATTTCGAACACGGGGTGTTTTCCCCTTTTTTGGGTTTGAATTCGGCGGAATTTTGGTTGGATTTGGAATTGACTTGCATTTAACTTTAGTTTTGTACTTTCAGCCCCTTTCATCGTTAGATGATGAGACTATTAAAGGGATGTAAATAATGTTAGTGGCACACGCGTGATATATTCTCAGTTGCGATTGGTTAATGGTTATGCCACATGTTACTTCTAAATATAAACATGATAATAAATAATATGGTCACTTTTTCTTTAATGGAATCTAATTAATCGGAATTAATGCTCTCACCTTCGATGAATGCTTGTCGGTTTTAACCGAAAGTGGATGGGTTTTGATTTTCGACAATCAATTTTTAAGTAACATCAAAGCAAATTGATCTTATTAAGATACTAGAAATATGCCTTTGATTATAGATCTTATTGCACAACTTTGGCACTAAATAACTATCTTATCAAAAATATGTTTGGTGAAGAAAAGCGTATTTTGGTTGCCGTGTGTCTATTTAATCAACGCGTAGCCATCCAGGTATATGTGGGCTCCTACTATCATCTAGGAGTTATGAGGTATGTATACGTCGATTATCACGTATTCTTTGTATACCGTGAACTCTATATAACCACAAGCAATACAAATTGATTCGGTGCATACCAAGAATCACAAAATATTAACGAGCTTAAGGCGCAACTGATGCACATACTCGAGCAAGTGGCAAACAAAATAGGCGAGGGGAGCTATCCTAACATATTTCATAATCGCCATGATTTTTGTAGTTGTTTTCTTTCATCATGCGATGCATTTTTTTTTTGCTTACCCTTATTTTTTTAGTATGTATGCACCTATTACGGTAACACGTGTATTTCTTCCAATCTTAGCATATCATATTGGACAATATTTTTTCTTTATTAGTATCTGCAAACAAACCATGTATTGTACCTCTTGGGTATGAGTTCATTGTGAGAGAAGTCACCTACAAAGTGGGGCAATAACAACGACGAAATATATGACCCGTCATTTAGATAATGCAGGTTATCAAGTTGTTGTTGAAGTTTGTCTTTCTACAACTACACCAAGTTCAGACGTAGCAATTGTGAGTGCGACATCCGTTATCAGTAACGCATTACTTGGCGAACAAGAAGATGCAATAGGTAGGTTAGTCAAGATGCTTAGGGTCGTGAGGAATCAAATCGTTCCTAGAAAAGAAGTAAAAAAAACACTTGATATAGTGAGATTTCGAACACGGGGTGTTTTCCCTTTTTCGGTTTGAATTTGGAAGAATTTTGGTTGGATTTGGAACTGATTTGCATTTAAACTGTGATTTGCATTTAAACTTCAGTTTTGCACTTCAGCCCCTTTCATCGTTTGATGATGAGACTACTGAAAGGATGTAAATAATGTTAGTGGCACACACATGGTATATTCAGTTGCGATTGGTTAATGGTTATGCCACGTGTTACTTCTAAATATAAACATGATAATAAACAGTATGGTCACCTTTTCTTAATAGAATCTAATTAATCGGATTAATGTTTTCTCTTTCAATGAATTCTTGTCAGTTTTAACCGGAAGTGGATGGGTTTTTAACTTTGGACAATCAACTTTTAAGCAACACATCAAAGCAAATTGATCAGATTAAGACATTACAAATATGCCTTTGATTATAAATCTTATTGCACAACTTTGGCACTAAATAGTTATCTTATCAAAAGATATTGTTAGCGAATGCTTGACAACTCAAAATCAAAACCGATAATTATTTTGAAAGGAAAGAGTATTTGATTGTCGTGTGTCTATTGAATCAACACGTAGCTATAAATAGGTATATGTGGGCTCCTACTATTATATAGGAGTCTGAGGTATGTACACGTCGATTATCACCTATTCTTTGTATACTATGAACTCTACATAATCACAAGCAATGTAAATTGATTTGGTGCATACCGAGAATCACAGAGTATTTTTTTTAACTAGCTTAAGGTGCAACTCATGCACACACTAGAGTAAGTGACAAATAAGATAGGTGAGGGGAGCTATCCTAGCATAGAGAATGTGGATGATGCAAACATGAGCTCTCATGATCGTCATAAAATTTTTAGTTGTCTTCTAGGATCATGCGATTCATTTTTTTTGTTGCTTATTTTTTTTAGCATGTGTGCACCTATTACGGAAAACACGTGTATTTCTTCCAATCTTAGCATATCATCTTGGACAATATTTTTTCTTTATTAGTCTCTGCAAACAAACCATGTATTGTACCTCCTAGTGTGAGCAGGGGCGGGCCCAGCTATAATTCAAGGGTATTCAGACGTATACCCAAGATTTTTGGACAAAAAATAGGTATATATACTCTATAGTTCATATATGTATGTAAAAAGATAAAGAAAAAGAGTTAAACTACTTATTTGGGCCTTGTTTTATCATTTCTACTGGATTGGGCCTAAATTTCCCACTCCCATCCCCTTTACACTCGGCCCAGCCCATTTCCAAACAAAAATCCCCTCCTCCCAATTCCCAAAATCCCCAATTCCACCCTAACCCTAATTTTGAGACAGCCTCACAGCCGGTTGCGCCTTGAGGGCTTGTGGCGCGGGCGGCGGCGTGCGTTGCGGTGCGGGCGGCGGGCGCGGCGTGCGGCGGCGGCGTTGCGGCGAGCTGGAGACCGCAGGGCAGGCCGGCAGCACGCCAGCAGCAAGGAAGCAAGCCAGGCAGCCAGGCAGGGACGGGCGGCCGCCGGCTTGGCGCACCGGCGGAGGGCAGAGGCGCGCAGCCGCGGTGGCGCAGCGCCAGTTGCGGCCGAGAGGCGCGTCGGCGTCGCCGGCTCCAGAGTCCAGCGAGGCAGCGATGGGTCGCGCTCCCGCGCCGCGTGCTGTGGCCTGTGTTGCGTGGCGTGACAGCGTGGGTAGCTCCATGGCTGGGCGCCGACTGCCGAGCCACCTTCCCCTGTTCCCTAGTTCCCTTTCCCGCCTTCCGCCATGGCACCGCCGACGACCGAGGCTGCGAAGACGCCGACGGGCTAAGCCACCACCACACTGCCACAGTGAGTCAGTGAGTATGAAGCTCAAATTTTGAATAATTGCAATGAAGATTTTAGGATTGGGAACTGCAATTGATTGATTTAGTATACTTGCTTGGTTGCTTAGTTGCAATTTATTGCTCAATTTCAGAATTGAAACATGAAGAAGAGGAAGGGTCCTACTGTTGATTTGAAGTCTTTTTTGGAGAAAGCGGAATTCTTTTTGCAAGCTAAGGACAAGGACATCATCGATTATTTTCAAAATATCAAGCGTCAAAAAGTTAATCTCTAAATTATAAGATTTCTTCCCAATTTATCATTTTCTATCATTTTTGTATTCCATATGTTGGCACTTTGATATGTTTATCAATTAGTATTTCTATATGTTAAACAATTTCACGTGATGATCAATTCTATTATTATGCTCAATTTTATGTTATATACGCTATATATTATATAATTATTAGTGTGTGATACTATACAAGCCAATTATTAGGTTTTTAGGTGTATGAACAAAAAAAATTTTCTCTCCACATTTCGAATACACAAGTTCAAAATCCTGGGCCCGCCACTGAGTATGAGTTCAGTGTGAGAGAGGTCACCTATAAAGTGGAGCGATGAACAACGATGAAATATATGACCCATCACTTAGAGAATGCGGGCTATCAAATTGTTGTTCAAGTTTGTCTTTCTACTCCTACACCAAGTTCACACGTAGCATTTGTGAGTGCGACGTCCGTTATCAATAACTCATTGTTTGGGGAACAAGAAGATGCAATGGGTAGGTCTAGTCAAAATTCTTAGGGTCGTGAGGAATCAGATTGTTGCTACAAAGGAAGTAAAAAAAAACACTTGATAAAGTTTAGATCGTGGGAAGAGTGCTACAACATATAAGCTCGGAATCAACGATCTGGTCAATAGAAAAACCATTTTATTAGTATAATTATATGAATTTTGATCTACTAGCTACCCCTTCCGTAAGAAAATATATGAATACTTTGAAGATGGTTTTGGTTTTGCACGTAGACATCGTTTGGGTTTTAGGAAGAACTTGGAGAGGGGCTGACACCCTTAACCAAATGTTGCCCTAATATTACCATATTGCTACCCCTAGTTTCCGTGGCAGGGCTTCCGGTGGTTGGCCTAGCCCGACAATTTACTGTGGCCCATCCAGATTTTCCTGGAAAAGCCCAGTACAAATCTTCAGCCCATTATGAGTTGGCCTAGCCCAAATAAGCCCAGTAGCCTTCATCTATAAAAAGAAAAGATTCATGATCACAGCTAGAAAATGGTCAGAATAATAGAATGTTCTACATATAAGAGAATAAATGCTTTCTTTACTTAAGCAGGTACAAAGATAAAGTCTAATATGAGCTCTCCATACTAATTAATATCACTAGAGACTATCTTTCTACAATAGTAAAGACAATAAGATTTCTAAACCATTAATGCACTAAATAATTTTCTATTATACTTCTTTCCTTTCCTTCACCATCATGTAACAAATTTTCCGTTAATAAATGCTAAGAGTCGACTCTGAGCCGTTGTCATGCGTAGTAATGATGTTTCTCATTCCTTCCATCTCTTTTTTCCATATAACCAAATTTACTTGCATGACAACGAAGAAAGCCCGTGATTAGACACCATTGTACATGTCCTTATGTCACACTCCTTTCAAAAAAAATACTATTACTTATAGAAAATACACTCACACGCCGCTGCATATCCACACCCACGAGTTTGTCTTATTAAAAAATATATAAATACTATTTATTTTATTGTGACTTATTCTATCATCAAACAAACTTTCACCTTAATTTATATTTTTACACTAATTTTTTTAATAAAATTTATGTTCAAATGTTACATGAAAAGTTAACGGCGTTGTATATAAAAAGACACAGAGGTAGTACTATTACATTTTCTTTATTCAATAATGTTGTCTACTACTGCAATATAGATACCCAGTGCTTGTTTAAGCTGTACTTCCTCCGTTTCATATTATAAGACTTTCTAGCATTGTTCACATTCATATATATGCTAATGAATCTATACATATATGTATCTAGATTCATTAACATATATATAAATATGGATAATGCTAGAAAATCTTATAAGCTACAACGGAGGAAGTAGTATTTTGTTATGTTACAAGTGTCTTGTTTAATTTATTCTTCAGTTAACAATCACAAAACACAACCACACATTCAAATCACTGCTACGTGCGCTACTGTGTGGTTGATCGCGAAACAGAGTAAAGCAGATCGCGAAATGGAGTGAGAATTCCACGGATGGAACAGCAAGCTAACAGCTAGAACAGGTCTCTGACAAAAGAAAAAGAAGAAAAGCTTGCAAGCTGGATTAGTAGTAGTAGAACAAGAATAGGTTCACGGCATGTTTAGGGAGCCTGTAACTAATGCAGTTTATTCTAGAATCGGAAGGTCCCCAAACAATCTAGCTTTTGATTCATATTCTGAGAATATAGTTGTAGAATAAAAAATTGAACTAGAAGCTAAAAGCTAAAAAACCCAGTTTTTTAAGATTCTAAGAAGCTGGCTATTAACCAACTACTTCCCGAAATCTTAAGCTTCCCAAACATAGTCCCAAGCAGTCGGTCTCGCCCGACAAATGAAGACACCCTGCTTAATTGCCTCCTCTGCGTCGTCTTCATCCACCAGTCATCAGTGCTCAGTGGTCAGCACTACCATACACAGACAGATCAGAGACAAACCAAAACAAATTTTGTTGATATTTATTATTTTTTTCCTTGATTAATTTCAACTATAGATTACAACATGAGTATAGATCAACTGATTAGTTTCCTATGCAGAGACTTGTCCACCTAATTTAAGTTCTATACTTGATACATGCGCTTATATAGTTATATTTACGCTTAATTATTCTTTCGAAGATAGACCACTTTTCCATCAACGATGCTATCCTAGTTATCGGATGTGCTCATATGGGGGTAAGATCACACACGTACTTTGTCTTGAAAAAAATTAACTACATGTTACGATAGTAATATTTTTCATTTCAACAAAAAGAAGTTTTCAGTCATGCCTACATATGCAATAATAAAACGTTAAATCTACCCAATTGGTTTCCACCAGAGTTTTTCAGACATTTTGCTCGGCTTCAAAAGTGCAAAAAAAAAGTATTACGAAAATGCATCCAAATTTACCATTTCACCGTGTAATTGTTTTTTCTAATTTTACCACAATAAATTCTACTAGCACCCCATACATTTAGCTAGGTACAGTGTAATGGGGTCCTAAGCTAGGTGCTTAACGAAACCTTAGCTCTGACGAAAAAAAAAAAAGCAATGGTACAGCCAGAGAGCATGCTCCAGATTTTAATTGCAACAAGGACCCCACTGCAAAAAAATTGATGGCGCTGAACAAATTTAGGTGACGCACATTATGCCCTCGTGAACCCGATTCATCTGGTCCCAACCATAACAGCAAGGGCACTAAAAAATTGCAATACATTATGTTTTCTTTCAGAAGAAAAAACGAATAAATGTTGTCATTTACTATATTCCATTTTTTTCTAAACTAGCATCCATAAGCTACAACCAAACAATTTTGCCTTCAGCGAGAGAAATAATATTCAAAGATAGATGTTTTACAAGTATTTTTTTTTCTTCATTCATGGTACCTGCATCCCTTCAATATGATTTCACCTATGCTGTGGGGGTACAATACATTGTTTTCTTGTAAAAAGATAAACGTTGGAGTTTCAGTCCTAACTAAGTCTGATTGGAATTTCTTTTGTGGAGTAAAAATACATTCAGGAGGATTCGGAATCACGAGATTTCACTATCTAGGATGAAATTTCACCGAGATTTATTCCATTTCCGAAACGAACTCAAGTGGATCCTAAAATTTTGTCTTTCTTTGCTGAAATGTTCCCAAAATTCCTAAAATAAAAGGAAAAATATTTTCCCATTGCCTTAGTTGTCTTTGCACACCATATCCTTCATCATTGAGCGGTCATTTAGAAGCCTTATCTGGTAGTTCAGGATGCTTCAATTCCCTCGGTTGGTATGGAAATTCTCACAAAGTTTCAAGATAGCATGAACCTTATCTAGATTTTAGATTGTGGCGATATTAGATCCGAGGGCTTGAAAATACCTTGTAGAAAGAAAGAAAAAAGCTTAAATGGAGATAAAAAAACATCGTCATGTCTAATTTTCTAAATATTAAGGGAAGTATTAATCCTAGTTTGCAAGTGGTGATGATTAATTAAGCCTTAATTAGCACGTTGCTTTAAGCGAGCTTATCCTAATTGTCCCCCCTAAAGAGTGACGTGATGCCTAACACCTAAACAAGAGAGCAACATATCTATTGGAATCCCCAATGGGAAATCCCCATCCCCCCTACATATACAATCACACTAGTACTTTGCATTACATACATTACAACATCACTCAAAGCACATAGATATATGTGAGGCACAAGCACACACACACATCTAGTGGTGATGTGAGAGGCAGGCAAACTACTAATAGTACTATATTATCATCATCATCATCATCATTATAAATTATTATTCCAATATTTGTCAAAGTGGAGGCAGGTATGTACACATCTCTCTCTCTTAATCCCCCCTTACAAATTAAGTTAATGACAAGGGGAGAGGAAACCCTCAAAAAAAAGAAGGAAAAAGAGGGAGAAAAATTAAAGAGAAAGAAAGCAAAATTTCAAAAAGGAGGTGAAGGCAACAAAAGAAGAAAGTAAAGTAGAAAAAAGAAAAGCAAAGAAAAAGTTGATGTGAAGTGAAGTGAAGAGAAGAGAAGAGAAGGGAAGAGAGGAGATGTTGGATCTATAGCTAGCTAGGGCTGAAATTCACCAGATCCAATGCAGTGCAGGTAGCCATCCTTGTCCTCCTCATAATTAGTGCCTCACCTACCAATAATACTCCTCCACCACACACACCCCCTCTCTCTCCTCTCATCTTCTTCCTCCATTGATTTCTCTCTCTATCTCTCTTCTCTTGTGTTGTGTGTTCTTCCATTTTGATTGGATTTGATCCATTGGTGGAGAAAGGAGGAGGGAACCCTTGTTGCTCTTGGGGTGGAAGGGGGTGTTGGGTGCTAAGCAAGATGGGTTCTTGGCGACATGGATCAGAAGGAGGGGAGGTGGTGCCTGGTGGTGGCGGCGATGGCGGCGGCGTCGGCGTCGTCGGCGGAGGGGAGGAGGGCGGCGCGGCAGAGCGGGCAGGTGGCCTGGCCCTTGTCGACCCACTTGTCGATGCACGCCTTGTGGAACGCGTGCGCGCAGTTGCCGAGCTCGCGCACCCGGTGACGCGCCTCGAGCGCGCCGAGGCACACGACGCACGACGCCGCGGCCGCCGCGGCGGCGCGGCGGCACCTGACGAAGTCGGCGTAGCGGACGGCGGGGAGGCGCGCCTTGATGGCGGCCGGCTCCGGCGCGGGCTGGAACGCCCAGACGAGGTCGGCGGGGAGGGCCGCCATCGACGCCGGCGGCGGCGGAGGCGGCGCGTAGGCGGGGTGTTCGTCCGGGAGCGGCGGCGCGGCGAGGCCGAGCGCGGAGAGGCAGAGCAGGAAGGCGTGGCGCAGCAGGTCGAGCAGCTGCAGCACCAGCACCAGCGGCTGCGGCAGTATCACGCAGTAGCACACCGACGGGAACCCCATCGCCGCCGGCGACCTCCTTCCTTCCTTCTAGAGAGAGAAACGAAATCAAAGATGGAATCTTTAGAGAGAGAGAGAGAGAGAGAGAGAGAGAGAGAGGGGTTGTGTGTGCGTGTGATGAGGAAGAGGATGGGGTGGGTGGGGGAGTATATATATAAGAGAGAAGGAGGAGGGCCTCATTGCTTAATTGCAACAGGGAGGCTAACCTTATAGCAAATACAAGTAAGCAGATCAAGCCAGCTATAAACACATGTGAAAAATATAAAAAAGAAAAAAAAGTGACCTTCAAATATATAGTAAGCTAATGGTGTGTATAAGAGATGAGATCATGTGTTAATGGTGTGGTATATATATTTATAGATAAATATTGTGTAAATCAGCGGTATTAGATTGATATTACAGATGATTTGAAATTAGTAAGTGGACTATGCTATTAAACTTGCTCCTGCCCAACCCAAGCCAAAGCTAAGCTAAGCTAATGAGACTACTACTAGTACTAACTAATAATAAGAGGATGGATGGATGGATGGATGAATAATAGTAATTAATCACATGAGACGCCCTATTTGCACGGTTGCATGATTTGTAGACCTTGTCTACCCGTGACAATGAGTGCTGAGTGCTGATGATGCGTGTACCCTGTCGGCTACATCACATATAATCAGTATATACGTGTGTTGTTATATGTACATGAAAAAAATATTGACTTCAAATCGCTCGCGAGTATATATACGTGTTCTCTATGTAATTTGAAAAATGTTGACTTCAAATCACTCCTAAATGTATATCATAAGTGTGTTTTTCTATGTAACTAGAAAAATAATGACTTTGTGTGTGTGTGTTGTTGAGCATTTTTGTGGTACTAGAATTTTGTTTCGATATTTTGGTTGTTATTACACGAAATTTTAGTTATGAATATAAGATTATTGTATTACGTGGTATCATACTTCAACGATTTATGACTATTTTACGTACACTTCAAACAAAATCTAAACAAAACTTTTATTTATTTATTGCGTGAACTAGGACTAGAGTGTGGAGTGTTCCAAATATCTAATCCTCACGATCCCAATACTTTTGAGAAAAAAATTCTATGACTAGAAATATAAATGAAAGTTAACATTGGAACCGATATCGTCCAACCAAACACATGGGTTGCACAAAAAGCTCTCGGCGTGCTCACAAGGGGGCTTCTGCCGGGGTGCGTGTAGCATTATAGCATTTTGTTATAGATGGGCGCACGTACACAAACACATGTGCTGTCTCGAGCTAGCTAAAGCTGAGGCTAAGCTAACCTCGATCTTGGCTTGACTGCTGCTGCTTCTGCTGATGATGATGGTGCTGTCACATGATTAGCCAGCTGCATTATGCATGCTGCTTCAAATTGATATCAAACCGATCGATATGATCTGGCCATCCATCTAGCTAGCTAATTGGCATGCACCGATTCGATGAGTCAGGTCTGAAGCCGTTTTAGATGAACACAGAGTTGGTTTTCAAAAAAGATGAATTACACAGAGTTGAGGACGACTTTCTCTATCTCTTTTATTTTTAGCTTGCAAATGGTGAAATGAAATCCATGGCGGTTTCGGAGATGGGAGAAATGTTTATGTGCTTGCCGGTGTAGTGGTAGGGGTATGCGGTTTTGGCTTCGTTGATCCATGGTTGACTCGCCGACAAGCTCATACTTTTTTCTTAATTATTTGAGAAATTTTCCTTGGTAGTTCTTTTTTTTTTTGAGGTAGCCAGTGAAGTAGGAGTAGTGAAGTGAGCAGGGAGGGAATGGTTGGGTTGGGTGATAACTGATAAGATGGTGGGCAAGCCATGTGTGCGGTAGGGCCCCCTCTCACCTCAAAAGGGCCTGTGCATATGCATCTCATGCATGCAGTGTGTGTGTGTATGGGGATGGCCCACAATTAGTGAGAGAGAGAGAGATATATATATAGAGAGAGGACATGAGATGGATGGCTAAAATTTGGATGTTGAACAAGGGCTTTGGGTGGGAGGGCTGCTTTGAGAGGGCATTGGCTTCAAATAGGTGACAGGGCATGTGCACTTTTCTTTGTGTGATGCATGGGCAACTTACAGTTTTTGGTGGGTTGGGAAATAATTAGGAGTGGTGGCTCTCCAATGAAGATATCTGGTCTTGACCAGTCTGGTATGGTCGGCGTTGGACGATTTATTCACATTGTACCCGGTTTGGACTAAATGGTGATGACTTTTTTTAGGTGAATTATTGCCTGGCATTTGCCGAACAGTAGATGATGATGACTTTTGGTTTATCATGTGCTGATTTTGATTTTTAGAGAACACTTGGTTATTTTGGTTTTTCGATACATAGGTTTTACCTTAGTTCAATTCAAAGCATGTTGTAAAATGTTACACTATAGATATCATCCCTCGTTATAACGTTTTACTAAGGTTGTCCTTTTAGAATATTCATGTAGTTCATTGGGTGTCTGTGAAAAATCTAGAGCCTGTTCACTTTGATGCCATTTGGTAAAGTTGCCAAAAAAGTGGCTACATTTAGTTTGCTGCTAAATTTTGGTAACTATATAAGAAATCCTACCAAAATTTTGGCGAGTTGCCAAATGCCAAACTTTTGGCATTGCTAAAATTTGATAAGGTTTTTCTTGGCATCAAAGTGAATAGGCCCCTATTTTATAGTAGTGCCTCAGACACAACATATATTACTAAAAGAAAAGTACCCATTTTCTTTAAAAGAGAAAGAGAAGAGAAGTGTTCTCAAAAAAGAAAAAGAAGTTAGAAGAAGCGGCACCAAACCTCAACTAATCAGAAACAAACCACCACACAATCCTAACCATAACCAGCATCTAAACCAGGCCAAAGATCCAAATAATTGAGCTACTTGCATATGTTTATGCAAGAAATGCTAACAAAATTAACTAATTAAGCTAGTGCCCTGCTCGTCCTCATTCAACCGATCCTTAAGTGCGGCGATTAATCATGATCATGCCCCCCATGTCCTGTGTGTGCGTGCGAGATACGATGAACACCGGCCCAAAGACTGCCAAAATCCTCCTTCACTTAAACAAATCGGTGGTGATGATGCTGATGATATGCCCAATTGCCCATCAACCAGAGATATAGCTAGCTACCTGCCTTCTTGCCTGCCACAAGAGAGAAAACAATGTACTTTAATTCATTACATAAGTGTCATGTGTGTGTGGATGGCAAGCCATGCGTTTCAGCAGGGATCATGTCTGTTAGGATATATTTAGAATTATTTTAATTGTGTATGTTCTCTATTTTCTTCGCTGTTTCGTGATTCCTATACGTTGGATCGAGCATCGGGCAGCTAGATTGAGTGGACAAATATCATTAACCGGATGGTCAAAATACTGGTCACTGCTTTTGGTCCCTTTGGCAAGCAAATGCCGCCAGCATGTTATTCTCCGTGTCACCAATGTAGTGTCGTTGGTTTATTATGTTTTATGATAAATAGTTGTATTCTAAACCCCTGCCACAACACATATAAAACATGTTAAAATTCATAGTTGGGGTTATTTTTGTGCCCTCTCATTTCGATGCTCGCTAATTTAATACTCATTTGATACTGGTATAACTCTAACTAGACGAAGATAGTATATATCGTGCGATATATCATACAGTCCCTCGCATAGAAATTTCGTGGCTCCGCCTCTGCACGTCCAGATGTCTACTACTCCAACACAAACAAAAAAACGTGCATATCATCATCACCACCTATCTCCATTGCTCTCTCTTCATAATTGGTGTGAGTTCTATGTGTAGCCACTTTGACACATATATAGTGTTTTTTTCACCTTGTCCTGAGGCAGAATCAGTGGAGTGTCCTGTTTAACCTTGTGTACCCTTGCCTCACAAAAGCAGAGCAGAAAGCACTTCACACACTGAGCAAGCATCACTACCCTACTCACCCTACTTACTTGATTATTAGTTACTTAAATTATTCTTCGGTTAATTAAACACGGTTTTATAAGGACAAAAAGGGGGAGAGAGAGAGATGCTTAATTCTTCTACCGGTTGAAATAATGCCAATGCAAATAATAAAAATAATAACAGCATTTTGTCAATCTTGTGGGCCCACATTACACCGGCAGACCCTCATGGATGGGACCCACCAAAGGCTAGGAGATCATCCTCCACCATCCTCCTCACCAGTCTTTGGGTTGCGATTTATCAAGTCAGTTTATTAAAAGAAATTAATAATCCTTCTGATTCATGAAAACATGTACAACAACAATAAACTAATTCATAAAGTAGTCCATAATTTTGTTTTAACTCTTTTTTTAAGTTCCCCCCTTGTGCTCTTAGTCATTTTATGCATTATAAGGCAATCTTCAAGTAATATCTAATTTTGGCATGCCTAACCGGTAACAGAGACAATAACACCGTCGAACTTGAATGATTAGTAGTTTTTTTTCCTAGTGATCGACTAATTTTTATATACATCGACGGTTCTTGGTAGTAGAGGCGGAAGCGACGGAGCCCGGACGGTTGTACCAGAACAAGAAGTCTTTTCATTTTCTGCCTCGCCATTGGCTATCTTTACAATGTTTGGTGGATGTGTAGCCCAGAATTTAGACATGTTTAAAACTTTTTCACCAAAATTTGAGGTGCATCCTCTGGCTAGAACTTGCAGAGAAGCAAATGATACCGATTTGCTTGTGCATCCAAAAGAAGAACAAAATGATGGGTTGGGTTTGCGTGGACCGAACATTATTCTGTAGTATTGCAGTCTTTCTTTTTCTAATCGCCTTTCCCTGGTGGAGACGTAAAGCATGCCTGAATGGTCCCAGCAACCAAAGGAAGAGAATATTTAGGTATAGTAGCACATTACAGCATGCTAATCAATGCCTGGTCTGATTAGCTAGGCTAAGCTCAGTCTCTTGCTTCTTCCTGTCAAAATAAAAATTACTACTCCATCAGTCTAGTTTTAGAGCTAGTCGTAGACAAATTAAGCGAGAAGTTTAGTTTAACTAGTCAAAGACAAATTATTTGTTTAATGGCTAAAACGAGAAGAAAAAGATAAAATGGTATTAAAAAGCTACACTTATCTAGAGATAAATCTTTATGTTCAAATTACAGCTATTTAGGGACGAAGAGAGTATTGTTCTAGACATTAATACAAC